AGTGTCATTTATCAAGAGAGTTGCTGGTTATATTTAGCCATGCGAAACATTAAGGATAAGTTTGAATTAAAATAAAAACTTGAAGGACTAATATGTACAGAATGAAACATTAAGGACTAAACTGAGCCTTGATGAAACTTGGAGGACCACTTTAGCTATTCACCCTTTAATATTTATTGGATGATTGATTTATTGTTGATGAAATACGGGAATTATCCTTACGTAATGCATGTTTAGTTTTTGTTTCCAAGGATATGTAGGTTTATTTAAGGGTAAAGAGTGAATCGTACCGTTGCACGTTGTTGCAGGATTCCTTGCCTAAGTTTGGCAATGGAGCAGGTTTCAGCAAACAATTTCGCTTTGGGCTAGATGAGTCATTGCTACCTTTCTTTTTTCTTTCAATCCTGATGTTCAAGACTAGTACAAGTATAATACGCTAGATAAATGCCTCGATTGCTGAAGCAGTTACAATTAAATTAGATTAAGATGCGTTGTTCGGTTGTTATTCCTCTCTTTATCGATCGTCGGCTCGCTACTCGTTCCAACACATCCCAAACATCACTATCATGGCGAGTTCGCCAGACAAAGAGAAAGAGGGGCGGCCGTAGCTGAACCGTTGTCATACTCGCAAGCCGCCCCCACCCAAAGGTAAGGAGAATAGGGATGGCAACGGGGCGGGGCAGGGCCGGGTTGGGCTGGAACGCTCCCAACCCCAATCCCCGACTTCACCCCCCGCCCTCGGCGCCGACCATGGATGAGCGGGGCCCCGCATTGGATTCTGCTACTATGTGCTATGTACTACTAAATCTACCAAATATACACAAAAATATCATGGGCACAGTTTCATTCACAAAATCACAAGGCACAATTGGAGTCTTGGAGATGGAGCAATACCTCTCACTCTCTGTGAATCTCCGCCTGTGCGTAGGTGAAGCTCGCCGTGAATCGCCGGCCGCCGCCGTGCCTGTCCCCTCGCCGCGACCGCGCATGTGCGCTGCAACCTCGCCGGCCACACCTGTCCCCTCGCCGTGCCCTTGCCTGTCTCGCCGGCCGCCACAACCTCGCCGTCCGCGCCTGTCCCATCGTCGCGCCCTTGCCTGTCTCGCCTCCCCGCCGCCGCCGCCCCTTGCTGACTCCGGAGGGTGAGCTGGAGTCGTGGAGGGGACATGATTCGTGAGGCTGGACGCCGGACGGGAGACTGGAGAGGAGGGGAGGGGAGATGGTGGCCGGCGACGGCGAGATCCAGTGCGCCCTGCTGCGCCGCCGCCTGTGTGTCTCACGGGAGGGGAGAGGATATGGGGAGAGACTGAGAAAGAGATAAGGCAGAGGCTAGGGTTTAGTAGCTTTTTTTGGTGGGTTGGGCTTTTTTGGCCTTCTATGGACTATATTTGCAGGGTTTATATATGGGGGCTACTAGCACGCGCGTGCGCGCCAGGAGAGGAGCTAGCACGCGCGCTAGTTGCTGGCATCCCTACGTTTCAATCTCCTATTTTTACGTCAGTTTCCTTTTCTTTCTGTTTTTTCGAATATTTTTTTGGATTTGCTTCTTTTTTTTTCTCCACACACGCGCATGAGTTTTTTGCGATATTTTATAAATTCAATCTTTCACCTTCAATATCAATTGAGAGTTTTGAATTTGAGTTGAAAGTTTCTTAAATTTAAGTTGAATGTTTTGAATTTTAAGATGGAAGTTTTCAAATCTAAGTCGAATATTTTGAATTTTGAGGTGAAAGTTTTCAAATTTGAGTTAAAAGAAGTTTTTAAATTTGAATTAAAAGTTTTCAAACCTGAGTTAAGTTTTTAAATATTGACATGAATTTTTTAAAAAAATTTGAATTGAAAGTTTCAAATCTTCGTTTGAAAGTTTTTGAATCCGAGTTGAAAGTTTTCATGTCTGAATTGGAAGTTTTCAAATCCAAGTTGAAAGTTTTCAAATCCGAGCTGAACGTTTTCAAGTTTGAATTGAAAGTTTTCAAATCCGAGTTGAAAGTTTTTAAATCCAAGTTGAAAGTTTTCAAGTTTGAATTGAAAGCTTTCAAATCCGAGTTGAAAGTTTTTAAATCTTGACTTGAAAGTTTTCAAATCTAAGTTGAAAATTTCAAATCTCAACTCCTACTCCTACACGAGTGCGGTAGTAAACTGCGAAAAGAAAAAAAAAGGAAAAAAGGAAATGACGGCAGCTGCGCCAAAAGAAAAAGAAAAAAAAGCGAAAAAAAAAGAGAAACGCGCGGGGGCGTACGAGGGCCCGCCACGTGGCACGCACGCTACTTACAGAAGTCGCGCGTACGCGCTATAGCAAAACCGTTTATATACACCCCCGGGACCCCACGGGTGAAATGTCTCCCTCGTCCCCTCCCCGCCCAAATGCGGGGCCCCATCCCCGACACCCCCACGGGTCAAAAATCACACCCGCCCCCGCCCCCGCCCTCGTAGGGCTGGATCCCCCCACTGGGGAAATTGCCATCCCTAAAGGAGAACAAGAAGTAGGCGGTAACCATTTGCCCATATTTCTTAATAAATCAAACGGCTTATTAGGAAATAAAAAAATAATTTATAAGTAAAAGTTTTATATATGTGTTCGTAACAACTTAAAACCTAGTAATACTTGAAAAGAAACTATGTTAAAAATATCTTAAAATTAATATCAAAATAAAGTTTGAAAATTTAAATTTTAGCTTTGACTTCAATTTATTAGGGTTATTAATGGGACTCGAAGAGGACGTTGACAACGAGGATGTTGAGCCGTTCCTGTCGTTTCAAGGTGGAGTAGCCGGAGGAAAAGCCCCAATGCGATCCCTTGCAGTCCGAGTAGATGGACGAGATTGACGCGGGGTCGCCGTGATAGCTGTAAAATTAGGCACGTTGGCGGTAGGCCGGAGCAGCCAAATCGCTCTGATGCCAATGCTGGTTTTTGCAATACAACTGCTAGTTTTGTTTCATGTGTTTCTTTCTCCTTTTTTCTTTCGATTTTCTCCTATTTTCGCGCACCCTCTCCTCGTCACGTTTTAACTTTTTTACTTGTTCTTTCCATTTGTTTTCAATCCGCAACATACATGCTTTCAAATTTTTTTAGTTGAAAGTTTTCAAATCTTGACTTGAAAGTTTTCCAATCCAAATTGAAAATTTTCAAATTTGAGTTGAAAGTTTTTAAATTTAAATTGAAAGTTTTCAAATATTAACTTGAAAGTTTTCCAAGTTAAATTGAAAGTTTTCAAATTTTGAGTTGAAAGTTTTAAAATCTTGACTTGAAAGTTTTCCAATTTAAATTGAAAGTTTTTCAAATTTTGAGTTGAAAGTTTCAAATTACAAGTTGTAATTTGGGATAATAGCCTATTTGGCCCTTCAACTTTCGCTCTGAGGTCAATATGGTCCTTGATATTTTAATTGGTTCAAATTGGTCCTCAAAGTCTATTTTTCAGTATACTATGGTCCTTGGACCCAAAAACACCACATAGGCATGCCATCTCATCATCTTATACAAATCTGTCATGAAATGCCTAATATACCCTTACATACAACATAAGAGTGAAAAAAGAAAAAGAAAAAATGTCATACACACTTGCATTCGCAAATAATCAAATATATCGATTCGTATATAGATGTAACATAATCCATTTTGTGTTTATATCAATTCCTGGGATTAGATTAAATTAACTAATCATATAAGATTAATTAGTTCTAGTATTTTGTATCACATGCAAATAGACAAATTAGATATTTCACTATCCATTTTTAATAAGATGATGACATGGCATGTCTACATGGTGTTTCTGGTGGGCCTAAAATTCATATTGGACCATATGATAAAGTTTAAGCATCTGATTGGACAAAATAAAATATTAAGTACCATATTGACCTTAAGACGAAACTTTAGGGACCAAATAGGCTATTCTCCCTTGTAATTTTTTAAATTTTGTGTTTAGAGTTTCAAATTTTAAGTTGAATTTTTAAAACTTTAGGTATGTTTTTAATTTTTTAATAGAAAGTTTTCAATTTTATTTGAAAGTTTTTTTCATGGGTAGATTTCTTTCAATCTGTTAATAAAAACACTTAAAAAGAGAGAAAAAAAACTTACCTTAATTACGTATCTCTTAATTACGTATCTAAAACTAAACAGAGTTATTACGGTAGATGCGCGCGTCTCCCAAAAATAGAAAAAAATCAAATCAGCATTCACGATTAAAGATCAGTCAGATCAGCGTTCATCACCGCGTGATCTCCCGTACACGCATGGGCCGCTTCTCGGACTGGGCTGAAATATGAACCTGGTGGGCCAAACGCGCGCTACTTCGTTAGCTAGCGCGTGCACGCCAATTAGCAATCCCGCCCTCTTTCCACGCACTCACAAAACGACGACGACAACAACAACAGACAAATCAATGGCCAGGTGGCAAAATTAAACGATGGTTAAGTGTAAGCAAGATTTTTAGAGTCCCATTGGTTGCTCTAGTAAGCTAAAGACAGCCAAAAATCGAATTTTCAAACTTAATTTTGAATAAGATTTTAAGATATTTTCAATGTGGTTTATTTTTCAACATTGGCTTTTAAATTGCATATAACGCATATATAAAAGTTTTACCTATAAATTAATTGCAACGCACAACCATGCCTAATGGACTACAAGTTCAACATTCTCCTATGAGGAGCAGTAAGTAGTGCTAAATCAGACATTCCTTTAAGGTAGAATTTCCAGGATTCATCAACACTCCTTACATCCTACCAAATGTGAATGTCAAAATGAAAAACTACACCAATTAGATGACACCATGAAACCATCCAACTCTCAATTCATGATAGCACATTGGAGGAATCATCCTTTATCTCCTAACAAATAGCAGTTTTTTCGCTAACACACCTAGCAAACAGAATTCGACCTCACGAAATTCGCGTGGGAATTGAGCTTAGTGTTGAACTGCGCAACATGCTCATACTCATACTCCCTTTCTACCAAACTACCAGTTAACGCTTTCAACAGCATTTCGAGCTGCAATCCATAAATCTCAAAGACAAAAATAGTTACAATTCTTTTCATTTATTTTTCATATACTCTATCAACTGCTCTGAAACTAATGAACATAAAATGAATGAACGCCCAAACTTGGCGACCCAGATAATGAAAGTTGACAATGTTATTAACACTGTACTGGGGCAGGTAATTCGATAACTGAATTTACAGCTAGTAAAGCAAAAAAGAAAAATGGTATAATCAGGTTCAGGTGTGTCGTATGCTCAATCAGATACTGAAGACATTTGTGATCAAAATCAAAACCTCCTTATTACGCTACTTAGAAGGGCCATAATACTCACACTTTAATTAACCATGGCAGCAGGGTGGAATCCATGGTCACAGCTTGCTGGTGGCGGTGGCGGTGGAGGTGGAGACGACCTTCATCCTGCCGAAGAGGGAGTGCCTGCCCTCGGCGACGACCTCGCCGGTGGCGGCGTTGGAGATGAGGACGTGGGTGGCGGAGTACGCCCCCTTGTGGCCGAGCGCCCTGGCCGTGATCCGCAGGCGGTCGCCGGGGCGGGCCTGCGCGAGGGAGACGAAGGAGACGGACATGTCGGTGGAGACCTTGACGGGGCGCCCGTCGGCGATGGAGGCCGCCGACCCCACCTCGTCCACCAGCGACACCACCGCGCCCGCGGCCAGGCACCCGCTCCGATCCTGCGCCCAAATTCGGATTTGACTGATCTCGAATCCAAAATCGGTAGATCAGGGGAGAATAGGGCGGCGGCGACTCACGGTGAGCCTGGAGGGGACGGTGAAGGAGCAGTCGACGAGGCCCGGGCGGACGCTGTCCACGCGGATCCCGCCCAGCACGAAGCCCTCGAAGAAGCCCGCCGCGTGCCCCTCCCCGTCGTCCGCGGTCGGCGGCGTGGCCGCGGAGGAGACCGCGTCCACCAGCGAGCACTCGTGGGCGCTCACCGCCAGGGCTTGCCTCGCCTTGGAGTAGTCATCCCCCATGGCCATGTGTGCTCGCCTCGCCTTCAGCAGCACTGGATACAGTAGAGGAGGTAGAAGAAGGGAGCAGTCAAAGAAAGAAGATAATGTTCCTCTCAAACTAAATAAATGTTTAGTGACATTTGCATCATTTTATTAAGAATACTACTCCCTCTGTATTTTAATTTTAATGTTTTAATAATTTTTTAATAAACATTTGACCTTTTATTTTATTCAAAAAATTTATGTAATTATAATTTATTTTATTGTGACTTGATTTATCATCAAATGTTCTTTAAGCATGACATAAGTATTTTTATATTTGCATAAGAATTTTAAATAAGACGAGTGGTCAAACGTCAGTTAAAAAATCAACGGCGTCATACATTAAAATACGGAGGGAGTACTTGGTTAATACTTCCCTCATTTCACAATGTAAGTCATTCTAGTATTTTACATATTCATATTGATGTCTAAGATTCATTAACATTAATATGAATGTGGGAAATGCTAGAATGATTTATATTGTGTAATGGAGGGAGTAATGTATATGTAATAGTTTGCACAAGATTTTACCAATTAAATGACCACGCGTCCACAAGGTCTTGCTTTCAAATGAGGATTGTTTACAAATTTAATTTTAATCCATAGATTTTTTTTTTCCTTTTACACTCACTCTGTTCTTTTATACATGATGCCGACTATTGATCATCATCCTATTCAAAAAAATTGCATATATTATTTATTTTGTTGTGATATATTGTACAATCAAAGAAATTTTAAATATGACTTACATTCTAGCATATTTATATTAATTTTTAAAAATAAGACGAATTATAGAACATTACCAAAAAGTTAACAATGTTATTTATTAAAAGAGGTATTTACTTAGGACTGGTACATTGTAAACACGAGTCAGGCGTATGCATACACCACCTATATATAGATTTACTTCTATCAAAGGACAATTTGTTGTACCATCCTATATCATCCCATACAACTAATGCAATTAGACCATTTTTTTTGTTTGTTTTATAACTGCAACCAAGCAGTCAATGATTAGCATTCCATCCTAAACCATTTCACCCACCTTGTACCACACCATCTCATTCATCCTCATTCTCCCCACCAAACTAGTCCAGGGAAACCATCAGTTCCAGAAAGCTTGTCCAGGCAAATATTCAATATATGGACAACAAGGGTGTGCATAAGTTGGTCAGCACAACCAAACCAATCAGGATTCCAATATAATTTTCTTTTATCTACATGAAAAAATATTCTGCTGCAAAGACACTTAAGAGAACTTAATCACAGTTAAGTTGCAAAAGAATCAAGATCATCACATTTCTCTTCTCCTTGTCACCAAAAAGTCAAAATTTGTCTGCCACCTATTTCGGCAATGTTCATACTCATCTGCAGCAATCAAACTCAGCTCTCTCCCTACCAGAAGGGACGAAAGCAACCAGCCCGTTGTGTCGAGCTCTTACTCCCACTCCCACCAGAAGGATGGCGTGGGTAAAGGATATCATAGTGGACGCCTGTGTACAGCAAGGTGACGCGAGGAATGTTAACGCCATCGGCAGTGTAGATATCTTGAGCTGGTCCATTATGCAGGTTCTCCACTCGGAGAGGCACCCCAAGCGCGGCTGCCACGGCCGTCATCTGAATATGGTCAGTTTGCTCACGAGGCTGAAGAAGATAGATTTCGCACCACTGCTTGCAAGCAAACAGGTACAGTGAAATGAGTATCAAGTGTTAAGGAATTGTTGCAAGTTCAGAAACGAGCAAGGGAAGTGATATTGGCACTAACAGCTTCCAGGGTGTAGCCACCTCCAAGCCCAGCTATGTTCGGTTCATACTCCTCTCTGTGCGAGCATATCCAGTTAGCTGCTGCATATTTGAGGAAAGCCAAAACTGACAAAAAAGAAGTTTCAGAACCAAGAATTAGGATGAATCAAAGGAACGTAGACTCAAGGATGTTGTTCTTACTGCCATCCGACTTGCTGTAACTGCTGAAGAACTCGAGAAGTTTCTGCCTACGGCTGAAAAAAGCGCCCATATGTGGTCAGTGGGATGGGATGCATTTACAAACAACACTCTGTTGGAACTGTAGGAACCAAGCATATAAACACCTGTCAGCTGATGCTACACCCTTCTGTCTCCTCTTCCATCTCATCACGTTCTGTATCAGCTTCTCAAATACCTGAGAGTCAGTAATGCAATAACCGTGCATGTTAAACCTTACAAACAGCTGGCATTTTTCGCACACAGACTGGAGATTAACAGGTTACAATGAGGCTTGCAAAATGCTTATCATCGATATTTAGAAAAGAATGAAGATAGTAGGATAACTTGTCTGAGAAGCTGTGATAGTTAAACATTAAGTAAAGGGCCTAACTAAAAGAAAAAACGTTACAAGCATTCGCGGAGAGAGTCGTCTCTGAAACGCATTTTTCAATCAGAATGAACAAAAAAACAATACAGAGAAGGCGAGTGATTACTTTGTGGCTCTGAGAAAATCCAGAGGCCCATTGACGATGATCAATTGCTCCAACAGCAGCAAGGAGGCGATTTTCCTCATCTGTGCCCACCATGTCAAGAACTTGCTCCTGCCAAATAAAGGAATAAATCACCAAACATGAAGCATACGATGCTATGCTAAGGAACAGGGAGGAGGATAACTGGTCCGCTACCAGATAGGAAAATATGAAACTCCTGTAGAAACATTCCCCATCTCCATGCACCGGCCTAAAATCTGAATACTCGTTGAGAAGTATCAGCAAATTCGCAGACATAATTCGCCGCAAACCTGATCGCAGCCCATAATGTTCAGGGGCAGAAGCCAGGGGAATTTTCTGCACAACAGACACAAATGAGGGGATTCAACTTATGGACATTTGATCATGTAGAACTAAAATGCAATGTAATCTTGCATTCCAGTTTTCTGGTTTCTGCACTATCTGACAAATGCTTGAAATCACTCACGAATATAGTTGACACAGAACGGTCATTGGTTAGTACAATAAATCATGTCCCTCACAAAATTAAAGAGCACTAGGCCAATTTAATGTCCCACGGCAATCCAGTGCAATCAATTGCATGTGAAACACAACTAGTATGATAGTATCTAGACAAGAAAAGGTAGCCTGATCAAACAGTTAGTGGCAAACAAAAATTCGTGAGTATCCACAATATCATGTTTAAGGGTTCTAATCCTGACATTTATAATTTATACACATCCACTTTCAACATTATCAAAGGATAATTTCAACATTATCAAAGGATAAAAAGAGTCAAACCTGATGTTGCACAAGAGGTTGCTGCTTGTATTTTAGATTGGAGAACCCAGCTGGACTTCCTTTTCTACGTAAAAACTAACCCACAAGAAAAAAAAAGGGTCAAAATTATATAGAATGGCAGAATTAGCACTGACTACAAAGAATTTACATCAAAGATAAAACATTTTGTGCATGGAACTTGTAAAAAACTATATAGCAAGAGAGCAAAACTGATATTTCTAGAATTGGTCTGCGCTTGCCATTTATGTCCTAAGTTTTCCCACCAATTTCAAGTAGCAACCAATCAGAGGTTGAATCTATTCAACTGAACACTAAAGTATGATCGCTGGTTTTACATACAGGCGATCAATAATATAGAATTTGCGTTCAGTAATGCAATCCCAAATATACATCTAGATTGACTTCCTACAACACAATTCAATAACAGTGAACATGCCATGATATCGCAGTAATAATGACATGATACAGTAGTTTCCTACATTGCTCGTTTTTTACAGTGAAATGAAAAGTACGTCACATTAACAGCAAGCCGAACCAATGCAAGCAAGAAGATCACTGCCTGTATTTCCCAAGCAGGTCATTGCCTGTATTTCAACAGAAAGCCAAATTTTCCCTGAAATCACTAATGATCTCTACCCAAATTTAGAGTGCATCATAATTTCAGCTAAGACATCTTCGCTCAATTGCACTAAATCATCCAAGATTTCACACGAATAAACAGAAACACGAGGGCCAAGATCCCAGTTCAACATTTCCAACAAGCAAATTGGCACCTAAGCAAGGATGCAAGATTTTCCATGGTTCCTCACAAGAACGGCAGGAACCAATCCCACAAACAGGGCACAAAATTTTGGCGCAAGAATGCTCAGCCCAGCCAAGAACAGAAACAGAAACTTCTCCTTACCTTGTTGCTGATATAGACAAGGATGCTAATCCCGAGTGACTTCTTTACCGTGGAAACGGGCGTCACATGCGGTTTCCAAACTCTGGGATCATCCCAAGGTAGCTTCCCGGGCCTCCTGGCCTACACCATAGAAACCAAGAAACGCTCAAGAACAAAAGCCCCCCAAAACTCCAAGATGCCAAAATACGCAGCATCATTACCAGGTTGACATCATCAGATGGTTTCTTGGCGTCGCCTTGATACGCAGCAAGATTTAATCTCCTCCTCCTCCTCCTCCCGGCTAGCTTCTTCTTCTGGGAATCAGATTTCCTCTCCTCCTCATCCCCTTCCGCCTTCAGGGCAAAACCAAGAAATGCTCAAGAACAAAAAAAAGAAAAAACCCCACCAAAACCCCAAGATGCCAGGCACAAACGCAATGACAGCAAGAACGCAAAAGATTTAGGAATCCTCACCTGCTCCCGATCATCCGAGGCCGATATCTTCTTCTTCCCCTTCTGCTCGACCGCCGCCGCGGCGGAGGTGCTCGACGCGGCGTCGGCCCCGCGGCCTCCGCCTCCGGGCTGCTTGGTGCGGCCCTCGACGGACGAGGGAGGCGGCGGCGGCGGAGACGACGACGACGACGGAGGCGGAGGGACATCGGCGGCGGCGGCGGCGGCGGAGGTCGGCGCGGGGATCGAAGCATCGGTGGAGGAGCTCGAGGCGTGGGGCTCGCGCTGCCCATGGAGCTCTACTTCTGCTGGGTCGGACGCGGACGCCATCGTGGCGGGCGGGGGGAAAAACTTAGGCGGGATGAGTGGCAGGGGCTGAATTGCTAATTCCGCTGACGCGAGGGGGCGGAGGAGAAATATTTCAAGGGTGTGGTTGTCAATTCTGGAAAGGCAGGAGGGTATTTATAAATGTAGCATTCGTAGGCAGTTGCTACCTATGGAGTCCAGCAGACGGGGTTTTTATTTTTCTTTCTTTCTTTTCAGTTTAGTTTTTCCTCATTTCTTCAATAAAAGTAATTTAAATCCGATGTGGCAAAATCCTAGTTGATTTAGCATTTATATTACTATATCAGCCTAATCTTTTCAAATGAAACCCTCCTTTATGAAAACATTCTCTTTTCACTTGCATGGAATAACATTCTTTCATGTTATTTAACCATACTTATTAAGTGTAAAAGAAAATCAATTATTCGAGAGAAATTCATTCATATTGTGACTTGTATTGATGTAATATTTGTGTTGGCCCTAAACCTCTTGAATTTTCCTTTTAGTAAAATACATGGAGAGCCATTCAACTTGTTTGGATGTGTCATATATATTGCTCTACTTTTAAAATGTACATCTTAATCACTAACATGAGTTAAGTGTGTCATTTAATCATCTAACTATCCATATGAGCACACCTGGTACGCATAGCATGCCACCTTGAATTGTAAAAATTTGCACCTGGACATCTTTAGTCGGTGCCTCCTAAGATTTTGTTTCCATCGCTGTTTATATTCAGCCTATCGGCCGCTACCGTTGGCGGGATTGATGGTAAGTGAGAGAGAGGACTAAGAACTAAGAGAACTCATTAAAACATGCCCAAGTGATATGATTTAGTTCTTCTAATTTTGTATATTGCCAAGTCCAAAAGCATTTTTCCAATCATAGATGACATATGAATAGTTAGCTTAACTTAAAATAGTGATCTAAATGTGTATTCTAAAAGTAGAATGACCTGCATGATAAATCTAAACAAGTTAAATGGTCATTCATGCATTTTACTCTTTCTTTTTTAAGGCATTATGCATGGCCATAGCATTTTATTGCTCATACTTGTGTTCTTATCCCTTTACTTTAGTCGGTCCAAAATGAATTATCTTCTCTCAAACAGCTATCTAATAGTATTATTTTTATAACCAGCCTAAGTAGCAAACACGAAGGGTACCCATAGCATATGAGTCAATCATAAATTCTCTTTCATTGGAACCTTTCTTTCAGATAATTTATAACCATGGGTCATGCCCGAGACATCTTTGGTATCGTATACTATAGTATTGTGCCGCCTACCCATAAAGTAACTTACATGGACTAGGGCTATCAGAAAAGCTAGAGACTCACAGGCTGCTTGAGCTCGATTCGTCCTAGGCTAGTTTCAACCTCGACTGGAGTTCCAGACGAGTCGAGCCCGAGCGTATACCAAAGCTTGCGAGCTTTGTCCAGTCAAGCTCGAGCTCCTAACAAACATAACAATATATGATTTTTATTTTTTTAATAAACCAGTATAGATAAATATGCCATTTGTATATATTCACATAATAAAATATAGCTTATGTTGCAATCATATATTTATCTTATTCTTTTTCTTCTCTTCTTTAATGTGGTTAACTAGAATTTTTTTCAAGAGATTATTCTTGAAATATACATTGTACTAATAAATCAAGCTCGGTAGTTAAGCTCAAAGGTTACACAGGCTTGGCTCGAGCTCGGTTTGAGCTTGTATCAAGCTCGAGCCTAGGTAAGTAAGCTCAGCTCATTGACAAACCTAACATAGGCATAGCAATATTGTTTTTCGTGGACAACCCAACAGCTCGGATAGAGAAATATGGTGTTTTTCATACCAAATTCTATAAAATTTGAAGTATTTTTATTTTAAAATGAGTAATCTTTAGAAAATACCATGTGTTAGTTATATGTGTAACAATGGTGTTTTTCATACCAAAATCTATAAAAATCTGAAGTATTTTTTATTTTAAAATTAGTAAGCTTTAGAAAATACCATGTGTTAGTTATATGTGTAACAGTCGTCCCTCTAGAACTGCGCAGCCCAGCCTAACCGACAAACGGGCCCACTTACATATACCACTTCACTTATACTTACATCATCGCTTCATGTAAAAGGGTTAACCCGAGAGTGATACCGTTGGAGGCAAGAGGCCTTATAAGCTGGTTCCACCCTTGCTAAACTAGTAAGGTGGTACTAAGCATGCACAAACAACTCTCGTGGATTACACATGTCTCATTTTAATTGGGCCAGGATATCATAGTGCGCTAGGTCAAGAAGGATTGCTTAATATGAAGTTTGTTTTCAATACAAAATTAATTTAATCGATTGATCTTTTTATAGTATTGAGTAGGACTGATAAAAATTAATGGACCAGACATATGTCTCACCTTTTTTACGATCTAATTCATGAACGCACTATTTCTCGTACCCAGGGGTGAAAACGGATCGGATAATATCCGATCCGATCCGCTCCAAATCCATCCGAAACGAGGATATGGTATAGGCTTTTAGAAATCCGGCGGATATGGATGCGGATGCGGATATGGTATCTCTGAAAGCATGCGGATGCGGATTATCTGATAGACCGTTAGCTAGATAATCCAAAATTATCAACACATGTAACCACTGTATCTATTACATATAACATAAGTTGGTTCATCCAACGGTCTAATTCATCAATTAACCTAAATTTCTTAGTCTGAGATTTTCACCGTCTCATGTTATACTTGCGTAGCTGTATTTTTATATTATGGACATCATGTATTTATGTTGTTTAGTACTTAAGCATATAATTATTACGATGGGTCATTTATTGGTTATTGTATTATTGTCCATTGCATTGCTAACTCGATGTTGTATTGATTGCATATACACGTAACATTCGATAAATTTAATCCGTGTCCGAACCGATTCTGCACCATTTCCGACATCCGAAAACAATCCGCTCCACATCCACACACTATCCGCAACTGCTCCGAATCCGATTAAAAAAATATGGTTTAGGATATGGTATAACTACTATCCATCCAAATCCGCTCCGTTTTCACCTCTACTCGTACCATCCCATATCATCCCCGGCGGTGTCGGAGTGGATCTGGCACCCCCATCGGCAAACAAACCAAATCCCCCTACCCGCAATGTCGTCAGGAAATTAGTTTGCTAACTGAGTTATTAGCTAACTTGGATATCCATATATATATTTTAGAGATGGGTATTTTTTACCCATATATTGAATGACTCAGTTTTAAATTCGTGCTATTTATTCACCCATTTTCCAAATCGTGCCTTTTATATTACATTAGTGTACATACAAACGTATATAAACAATAGATTACTCTAAAATACTTCAAAATCGTATTAAAATCAAATTTATATACATTAATGTGAATGGCGAATTATTATACAATTTTGATAAATAATACGATGGGCAACTAGACGAGACCGAGGCTAGTTGTGATCTACGAGTTCCAGTTCTTTGCTCTTTGCAGCCGATTTTTGTGACAAAACATCATCCACGTCATCATTCACTGGTGTGTTCGCTAATGGGGGTTAGGAACCCATCTCCTCCGCACGGAAAACGAAGCAGTCCATTAACACGTGATTAATTAAGTTTTAGCTAATTTTTTCTTAAAATAGATTAATTTGATTTTTTAAAGCAACTTTCGTCTAGAAACTTTTTTTAAAAAACCACACCGTTTAGCGCGGAAAACGAGAGAGAGGGGGGTTGGGAACCCAGGGCAAAGAACATAGCCAATGCGATCATATATGACTTAATCATATACGATCTATACAATCATTGCAACTTTTTTAAAAATGGGATGTTTTATAAATGCAATCAAACAGTGAATGATAATTATTCTATCCTATCCTCTCCCAACCAGACAAGTCCAGGTAAATATTCAATATATGGACAAGAATGATGTGGATAAGTTTATTAGAACAACGAAACTAATCAGGATTCCAATATAGTGTTCTTTATCTACAAGGGAAAAAAATTTCTGCAGCAAAGGCTCTTAAGAGAACTTAATCACAAGTTTCAGAAGAATAATTCATGATCATATGATCACAGGACACATCACGGACTCAAACGCCGGTACAACACATGTTTCTCTTCTCCTTGTCACAGTTTCAGAAAACTGCACAACTATTACAATTGATCCACCCATGGGCACAAACACAAGAAAGAAAGAATGTACAGCATATGTATGATGCAAAAGAATCACAAGTTGCTGCAAAAGAATCAAGGCCATCACATTACACCAATGGTCCCAGATGACATTACAGCACAGGTTTTTCTATCCTAGTCACAATTTTCAGAACAGTGAGCGGCAACTATGATATATTGATCAGCCTAATGGGGTGGGCATGCACCACCGCACCAGTAGAAGAAAGAAGGCCTACTTTCATCTAGAAGTCAAAATTTTTCTACCACCTAGCTCGGCAATGCTCATACTCATCTGCAGCAATCCAACTCAGCTCTCTCCCTACCAGAAGCGACAAAGCCAACCTGCAGCCCGTCGTCTCGATCTCTCACCAGGAGGGCGTGGGTAAAGGATATCATAGTGGGCACCTGTGTACAGCAAGGTGACACGAGGAACGTCGACGCCATCCGCGGTGTAGATATCTTGAGCTGGTCCATTATGCAGATTTTCCACTTGGAGGGGCACCCTAAACGCGGCTGCCAAGGCCCTCATTGGAACATGGTCTGTGTACAGACGAGGTGGAAGGAGATTGGTAGCACACCACTGCTTGCAGAGAAAACAGGTAAGGTGAAATGAGTGCCAAAAGAATTCAAGAATCGTTGCACTGTCAGTTCAGAAACGAGTTGATGTAAGGGAAATGATGTTGGCACTAACAAATTCCAGGGGGTAATCATCTCCAAGATCATCTACATACTGTTCATACTCGTCCTTGTGCGAGCAAATCCAGGTAGCTGCTAATGATCTGAGGAAAACAAAAACTGACGAAACAGAATTTCAGAAACAAGAATTAGGATGAATAGAAGGAAGATAAACTGAAGGATGTTGTTCTTACTGCCATTCGACATCCTTTTACTGCTGAAGAACCCCAGAAGTTCCTGCTTACGGCTGAAAAAAAGCGCCCATATGTGGTCAGTGGGATGGATAAACAACAATTTGTTGAAACTATAGGAACCAAACATATAAATACCTGTATGTTGATGCTGGATTCTTCCATCCAATTATGTTCTCTATCAGCTTCTTAAATACCTGAGAATCGATGATGCAGTAAATCACGCATGGTATACCTTACAAACGGATGGCATTTTGCACTCTAAGAGGAATTCAAGAGTTTAGCAGGTATATTACAATGAAGCTTGCAAAATGCATATCGTTGATATTAAGACATGAATAAATATAATAGGATAACTCATATGAGAATCTCTGATAGGTAAACATTAGATATAACAAAAACCTTAGGAAGCAAATAATTGATAAGAGAGTAGTAAGAAGGAAGGCATTTATTGTAGAGAATCATCTCTTACAAGCTTGTTTCTATAAGAAAGATAAACAAATAAATACATAGAAGGTGACTGATTACTTCGTGGCCCCAGGAAAATGCAGTTGCCCATTCAGGATAATCAATTTGCATAGCCATTGGTTTAACTTCAATTTCAAGGGCAGCAAGGAGGCGTTGTTCCTCATCTGTGTCCTCCCTGTCAAGGACTTGCTCCTGCCAAACAAAGCGGAATAAATCACCAAGCATACATTCTATGCTTAGAAACAGGGAGGAGGCCAACATGTCAGCTACCAGATAGGAAATTATGAAGCTCCTGTAGAAACATTCCCCATCTCCATGCACTGCCCTAAATTCTGAATACTTGCTAACAAGGATCAGAAAATTTGAAGAAATAATTCCCCGCAAACCCGGTAGACAATAATGGTCAGGAGCAAATTCCATGGAAAATTTCTGCACCACAGACACAGATAAGGGAATTCAGCTCATGGCCATCTGATGTAGGAAATAGTACAACTAGAAAGAAATATAACTTCGTTTTGCATGGCAATTTTCTAGTTTCTGCAATATCCGACAGGTTCTTAAAATCAGTATCCAGTATAATTGACATAGATCAGTTGTTGTTTAGTAAAAAGATGCTATCCTGTCAAAAAATTGAACAGCACTAGGCTGATTCAGGTTCTGCCACAATCCAGTAATGTCAATTGCATGTGAAACACTAGTATGATAGTATATAGAGAAGAAAAGATAGCTCGATAGAACAGTATGATATTTAAGGGCTTTGATCACATTTATAATTCATATACATTCATTTTCAACATTATCAAAGATTAAAAGGAGTCAAACCTGGTGATTCACAAGAGTTGGCAGGTCTGTTCTGTTATTCACATCGGAGAAACACGTTAGACTTCCTTTTCTACATAAAAGCTATCCCACAAGGGAAAAAAAGGGGTCAAAATTCATATAGAATGCCAGACGCAGCACAAATTAGGGGATTACAGAGTATTTATATCAAGAACAATCATTTTAGGCTAAGTACCAAGGAAACAGGGAATGCGTGGAACTTGTAAACACCAATATAGCAGGGGAACAGAACTGGTATTTCCAGAATTGCTCTACGCTTGCCATTCATGTCCTAACAGCAAATGCTAACAATATGCTAACAGTGAACAAAACTGGTATAAAACAATTCACTAACAGTGAATGCTCACGTCACGTGAATTTAGGATTTCTTACCAAGATATTGCAGTAATAATGACACGATACAATATTTTCCTACAATGTTAGTTGTTTACAGTGATATGAAAAGTAGATCACATTAAACAGAAAGTGGGTCCAATGCAAAACTGGTATAACACAATTCACTAACAGTGAATTCTCAAGCCATGTGAATTTAGGATTTCTCACCAAAGATATCGCAGTAATAATGACATGATACAATATTTTCCGACATTGTTAGTTGTTTATAGTGAGATGAAAAGCAGATCACAGTAAACAGCAAGCAAAACTAATGCAAGCAAGAGTGCCTTTCTTCAACAATTTCGACAAAGCATAAGAAGGTTGCTGCATGTATTTCCAAAGAAGGTCGCAGGACAACCTACGGATAATACGGAAGTCAAATTTTTCCTAACACGCCTAATGATTTGGACTCCTGTTCTAGAATGCAACTTCTTTTTTGAGAAACACAGGACCTGCCTCCCCCATTTCTACACCAGAAATTAATAGTCTACATTAAGAGTAGCACAACCAAAAAACCTCTTAATACCATTCAGCTTAATGCTGTCAATTTAGATGCAGCGATCCCACTATTGGTTGGCAACATATCAATTCGGCTCTAGAATGCAACATATGCATTTCAACCAAGATTTATTCATTCACCAAATCATCCAAGACTTTAGATGAATAGACAGAAACCACGTAGGCTAAGATCCTCCAAGTTCACCATTTTCAACATGAAAAATTGGGCACAAGACGATTTCAAAAAAAAATTGGGCACAAGAACCACATGCAAACAACAGAATACTAGCACCTAAGCATGGATGTAAGATTCACCATGGTTTCACAAGAATGGTAGGAAGCAATCCCACATCCTGAACACAAAAATTTGGCACAAGAATGTCCAGCCCAGACAAGAAAGTAAAATAAACTTCCCCTTACCATGCTGATGTAGCCATCAATTCTACTCCGGAGTGGGTTCTTTCTCCTGGAAACGTGCGACAGCAGCTCCCCCTCCTCATCGTCGTCATCATCCTCCTCCTCCTCCTTCTCCTTCTCTTTCTCCTTCTCTTCCTCCTCCTTCTGAACAGTGGTATCAACAACAGGTAGCTGCCTGGCCTACTCCAGAGAAACCAACCAAGAAATGCTCAAGAACAATTAGAACAACAAAGCTCCCAAGATGCCCAGAATAATCGATGGCATACGCACCATCGCCAGGTCGATATCGTTCAAGGCATCATCTGCCTCACGGTCGGAGAGCCCCAGACGGCCGGTGTTGCGGGCGGGGGGTGTTGCTGCCGGCGGCGCGCCGGATGGTTTCTCGGCGGCGGGGGGCCCTTGATACGCACGAATGCTGCTCTGGAGTAACTTCCCTTCAAGGGGACCAGACTTCCTTAGCGCCTTCAAGGGAAAACCAAACCAAGAAACGCTCAAGAACAGGATCGAAATCCACCCCCAAAACGCGATGATGGCACAGGAATGCGAGGTGGTAGGAGCCATTCACCTGTTCCGGATCCCGATCACCTTCGTCGACCTTCTTCTTCCCCTTCCGGTCGACCGCTGCAGCGGCGGAGCTCGATCCGGTGCCGGTGGCGCCCCGGCCGTCGCCGCGGCCTCCTCCCTCTCCGGGCTCTCGAAGAGGCGGCAGGGGCGGGCGCGGTGGCCGCGGCGGCAGAGGCGGGCGCGGCGGTCGCGGCGGGCGAGAGGCAGCGGAGCCGCCGCCCTGGGCTGCAGCGGCGGTCGAAGCACCACCGGGTGCCGCGGCGGTGGCGGCGCTGGAGCTGGAGCCCCATGGCCAACGCGGCGGACGCCATAATGGCGGGCGGGTGGTGCCGGGCCGGGGCTGAGGCGGGCGCGGCGGCTGCGAGGCGACGGCGCCGCCCTCGGCTGCAGCGGTGGAGGTGGAGGTGGACTCGCGACGTTGGGTGGCGCGGCCATGGACCGGCTGGTCTTTTGCTGTGCCTGACGTGGAAGCCATCGTGGCGGCGTCAAAAGCTTAGGCGGGAAGAGAGGCGGGGGCTGATTTGCTATTCCTGATGATGCGAGGGGGTGAAGGAAAAATGTGCCAAGGGCGTGGTTGTTAATTCCAGGAAGGCAGGAGGCTATTTATAAAGGTAACATGTGCATATGCTTAGCCTCCTTTTTCTGTTTAGCCTTTCTTTTCTTCAACAAAATTAATTCAAATTTGATGTAGCAAATCGTAAATTTAGCATCTACGTCGGTCTAATATCTGCTTGAATTAAAGATTGGTCATTTTCATTCCCCAAAATTATTTCATTGCATTACTTAACCCCTTAAATCATTTTTAGCTTATTTTACACCAGACCATTAAAAATGCTTAACCCCTTAAACCATTTTTGGCTTATTTTACCCTCAACTATTGAAAATGGTCCACTCGACTTCCTAATAATATTTATCTTTCTTTTTCTCTCCTCATATAAGATAGTATACTTTAAGTTGTAACATTTTACAACTATAGATGTCACATTTATCTAAGTTTGAAAACATTTTTTATTTTTTTATGATTGTTTGCTTAAATACTAGACTTAGTTACGCCCAACCTAGGTAAATAGTGATAAAGAAGTTCTTTTTAAAGAAGTGAAAAGAACCATTTTTAATTGTTTGTAGTGTAAAATTATGAGCCAAAGGAATAGTTTAGGGTAGATAAGTTATCCAGTGAAATAGTTTAAAGCGAGTAAAATGGACTTTTTTTTTTCAAAAATCGAAGCGAATTAAGACGATACTCCCAAGGTTTATTTTCACCTGAATGTGTAAAATTGTTTTTATTTTTGCTCAACCATCCTTGTTAAACATGAAAAGAGAATACTTATAGTTCAAAGATAAATTCATCCACGCCTTGATGTGGCAAATCCAATTGATCTAGTATCCATCTCGTCCTAAATCTTTTCAGATTGAAACCTTCCTTGTAGGGTGGGGTAAAAGCAACCATTGAAATTCCTGAACAACCGGTGTTCATTTTCGTTTTTTTGCCGAGCAATTAAAAATGGTTATAAATGAAAACAAATATGGAGGCAGAGATAAAAAAACAATTTTATTGTACATCCACCATTTTTTATTCTTAACTGTATTCTTACGGAAATTACCTTTTTATATTTGTAGTATTACCGTATTTCTAAATACACCAGTATTATGATCCATTTCTTTATTTGATCAATAATTTACAGGACATTAACTCATCAATCAAATTCCTGACTTGAGTACAAGGTTAAAGAGGAGATAATTTGTAAAGTATGACCTTGAATTTATTTCATAGTATTATATAGTTGTGTAAAGTTAAAGAGTAAATTCCTTGTATACCCTTGAAAACTCACTCAATCTCATTCATACCCCTAAAATTTACCCGATCCCTTCTATACCTCTGAAATTTCAACTTGATCCCTTCCATGTCCCTGCCGTTATATTTTTTGTCATTTCACTCTTAAGTTTGGTTCAAATGTCTTTTATTATGCTCTTGATGATTTAGGTTTGAAAACGATTGAAAATTTTGTTTGAGTGCACAATATGTGCATTTTATGAAACTAATGAGACCAAATATTTAGGGCGAAAAATTTTGACATAAATTTTGAAAATAAAACAAACGTAATAAATTAAAATTCTTATTTGAGATTTTAATAGGACGATGGTTTTTTAGTAGCATTCATAAAAAATATCATGGGTATTGGTAGTCCTATCTTTTATGAATGCTCATCATTTTTATGACATTTTAAAAAATAAAATAAATACATATTTTTTATTTCATTATCTAAAAATAAATTTTACCATAAATAATGTATCTCACGGCAAATTCATAAATAGAATAGTCTCATGTGACTAACTTATACATTTTCAGTTTATAAATTATATGTTCATCCAAAGGGTAAAAAAAAATGATCATTTTTATTGGAATTAGATGGTTAAGTGACGGGAGGGGCATTTAAAGGATCAAAATCAAATTTTGGGGTATATAAGGAAATAAGCAAAAATCAGGGGCATATAAGGGATTAGCTAAAATTTCAGGCATATACGAGGGGTTTTCTCAAAGTTAAATGTGTGATTCTATTGTTCAATATTTTCCAACAGTTACTCCCTTCGTCCCAATATGTAGCAATCTAGTATGGAATTAGATTCGTAGTACTAGGATGGGTCTAATCCAAATTCGTAGTCTAAGGATGGATCTAATCTTATCCTATATTGCTACATATTGGGACGGAAGGAGTATTACCCTTTTCTTCAAACATGATATTTCAATATTTTTATACCCTTTTTGTGTTCGATTTTTTTTCCAGAGAATCTACTTCACAGTTTCCCGTGGAGACGGGATACTTAACCCTAATCCCCACTCCCACCTCATTCCCTTCTGTTTCCTTTTTTTTCTCCTCCACACAATCGGTGATGCAGACGCATCAACGGCGGAAGCCACCGCCTGCCGCGGTGCAGGTCGCCTCCAAGCAGGCTGCCCCACGGAGGACGCTTGGCCCGCTCTCCTTCACCAGTGCCTTGCTCTCCCTCCTCCGCCAGCACCGGGGAAGGCAACACCACGCGGAGCTGCTCCCGCTGGCTTAGGAATGCGTGTGCATGTGGCGGCGAAGCGGCGTGCGAGCTCTCGTGCTGCCACCCCCGTCGACGAGGAGCACGAGCTCCTCCGTCCTTCCGCCCCTACGCCGCAGTGTTACCCCTCGCATTCCATTCCACTCCGGCTGATTCCTCCACCTCCCACGCCAGCAGCGCTTCACCGCCGCTTGCATCCCTTCGTCATGTGTGTTTTTCTCTTTTTTTTTGCTTGATGATTTCCTTTCTGATTTTTTTCTCCGGCTTATATGGATAGTGTCGATTTCCCTGTCCCATCCTCTTGAATCCCCCAATTCCACATGTACCAGCTATCAGGTACCATACACCATGTAGCTTGTACCATACTAGTACCAGGTATCAGCATGTGTTGTGTTGTGTTGCTCCGGCTGCAAAGGAGCGACACCGGCGACGAGATATCGTGCGTACGATGCCGAGGAGGAATTGAATAGGTATCACGCGCTATGGTATGTGGTCTCAGGTATCAGACTATCAGGAGGGAGCACACGTGAAATCTCACGAGGAAAGGAAGGAGTCACTATCCCGTAACAACTGGTTGTGTAACTGCGTTTTTTTTTCTTTTTACCGTTTTCAGCCGTAAAAGGGCAGGCATTGCCACTAGGGATGGCAACGGGGCGGGGCGAGGCCGGGTTGGGCTGGAACGCCCCCGACCCCGACCCCCGACTTCACCCCCCGCCCCCGGCCCCGACCAGTGATGCGGGTTGAAAACATCCCCCGCCCCCGACCCCTGCGGGGCCCCGCAACCCGACCGGGGCCCCGCATTGGGTAGCATCTCCATCCAATCAGCTCAAAAAATACAACACAATCATCATTTCATCAAAAAGAAATATTGTACATAATTAACACACCATCAAAAATAGCATGAATACTTCAATTTCATCATAAAAATTCAGCAAGAACACATTGATGATATCCATCATTTCACACAGTTACACACTAACACACATGAGTTCAACTGTTCAAGCGAATCAAGCCTTCAAAGTTCAACAGTTGAATTGTTCAACACATCACACACAGCAACTCAGCAAGCAAATTCAGTCTCACAGAAATATAGAAGTCTTAATATACTATTACATTGCCAACATAATAAAATATATAGGTAGATAGTTTGCAATTGCAGGCTTTCTAGCCCATCCTTCACTTATGAAATCTCCACCTCAAGCTTCAGTGACAGTAGATGCTTCCTGAAATCAAAATTAGAGGAAGCAACTAAGCATTGTATGTTATAGTAATAAAAACAATAAAGTGGGAGTGTAGGACATACCGATTCTGATTCATCGTCAAGTACCGTGTTCAATGCATTGGTCTTGTTAGCAATTTCAGCTATCAACATATAATGTGATTTGCAATTAGATGAAATGGAAGAAACATGAAAGGACAAATTAAACTTGAACGATACAAAAGCAAAAATGAAATTACCTAACATATCAGCACGACCCCATGCTTGCACACACATAAGTGCCTCCACAAGATCAGGTTTAAGCTGATTACGATTTGGAGTTATCACCCTCCCACCAGTACTAAATGCTGATTCAGATGCTACTGTTGTAATAGGGATTGCCAAAATGTCCCGGGCAATCTGTCTCAAAGTTGGGTACCTAATGCCCCCAAACTTCCACCAATTGATAATATCAAAATCTTGTGTCCTAGGCAACGGTTTCTCTTCCAAATACAAATCTAACTCAGTGCGAATCTGTGAGGAAGAGGCAACAGTTTGTCCAGACATATACTGATCAAATATATCATCCACCAAATCAAATCCCCCTGGAGGGGCAACACTTGAAGAAGCATTAACTCCATCTGAAGTTCCAACACCCTCCTCAACATGATTTTGGTATTGTAGCACTAACTTATACAAGTCTTCTTTCACAGCATTAACTTTTCTTAGTGCCACCTCTTCTCCATAGATTTGTATAAACATAGCATTCAACATATGAAGTTTATATCTAGGATCCAAAACACTAGCAATAGCCAAAATACCATGCACATCCTTCCAATACTTCTCATATTTGGCTGACATCAATTTAGTCATTGTTATAATGTTTGGATCAGCACTAGTTGACCATTTTCTCATAGCCAAATAAATACCACAAGCCTTAGGAAAGAAAAGATTTGCAGTACAATACTTACTACCAGAAAAAGCCTCTGTTGCATCATAAAAAATCTTCAATCTATCACAAAGCTCCCTAGCAAACTTCCAATCATCATTTGATGGACAATAAGGAGTATACATTTTTTCACGAGTTCCAAGTTTTGTAAAGACATCTTGATACAAAACTGCAGTGCTAAGCATGAGATAAGTAGAATTCCATCTAGTTTTGCAATCAAGGGCAATTACTTTCTCATACTTAACATTTATTTGTTGGGCCTGTTTTTCAAATTTCTCATGTCTCTTTGGTGTTGCTGTCCAAAATGAAACACTCTCACGAACCTTCTCAATGATTTTATCTAGGATAGTCATTCCATCTTTCACAATCAAATTCAAAATATGTGCACAACAACGCATATGCAGCAATGAACCATTTAACATAAGAGTATCAGCAGGCAACTTATCTAGCATTGTCCCCAATAGGTTCTCCATTAACTTGTCATTGGTGCTGCAGTTGTCAAGTGTGATAGTAGACAGCCTACTCTCCAAGTTCCAATCAGCAAGAACCTCATAAATAATTTCACTTATAAGATCAGCGGTATGAGGTGCTGGTACATAAATAAACCTACAAAACATAAAACACCACAAGAGAACATTAGTATAGAGTTAAACAAATGTAAGAAGCATGATATAGCATAATGTGCAGCACATATTCAATATACCTCAAAAGAAAACTCTTCAATTTCCATTCATCATCGATGAAGTGAGCGGTGATTGCCATGTATCCTTTCTTTTGATGAGTTGCTGTCCATAAATCAGTAGTAATGGCCACACGGCTCTGAAGCTTGTGAAAATAATTACTGATAGAAATCTTGTTAACCCCAAACAAGTCAATAATATCCTTCCTAATTGTGTTTCTGGTCATAACCTTGAACAAAGGTTGCAATGCACCACAAAACCTACGAAAACCAACATGGTCTACAATAGAAAGTGGGTACTCATGGAGGCATATCATCAGTGCAAGTTCTTTCCTAGCAACCTCTTGATCAAAGACATATTTCCCTACGGTAACCCTCCCTTCTGCATCTATTCCCATCTTCAAATTGGATTGTGTTAGACCTTTTCTAGCATGCCTAGACTTGCAAGTTTTAATATGGTCTAACAAATGTTTAGTCCCATTTCTACTTTCAGCTCCAAGCTTGTTGTGACACCATTTGCATTCAGCTTTCCACGCACCATTTATTTTCTTCTTAACAAAATCTTGCCATGCTGCAGATTTCAGTCTCTTATTATCATGTTCTACTTCTGTACCTTGTGAATCATTTATTTCGACGCTTGGAGCATTGGTTGGAGTGGGAGTGGAAGTGGAAGATGGTGTCAATGCAACTTGTGACTCAACGGTGGCAGCAGGGTTCGACATTCTGTCCACAAATAACATAATTCAATAATAGATCACAATCTGCTGCTATGTGCTATGTACTACCAAATCTACCAAATATACACTGAAATATACACTGAAATAGATCACAATCTTCTGTTTCATAATTTCATTCACAAATCACAAGGCACATTTGGAGTATTGGAGATGGAGCAATACCTCTCACTCTTTGTGATGTGCTGCAACCTCGCCGCCAGCCGCGCCCTGTGCGCCGCCGGCCGCGCCCTTGCTGCCGGTGTCGCTTCCCCGCCGCGCCTGTGCGCCGCCGCCGGCCCGCCGCGGCGCCGCCCTGTGTGCCGCCGCCGCTGACTCCGGAGGGAGAGGACGAGCTCGAGCCGCCGGACGCCGGATGGGAGACTGGAGAGGAGGGGAGAGGAGATGGTGGCCTGGCGGCTGGCAGGCGCCGGCGACGCCGAGAGGGCGAGATCCAGAGGCGACGCCACAGCCGCACCGCACGGGATGAGTGGATGACGGGAGGGGAGGGGAATGGATGTGGGGAGGAGAGAGACTGAGGGATGTGCTGCACTGCTGCTGTGCTGCAGTGCTGCTAGGGTTAAGGATTTTTTTAGTGGGCTGGGCTTTTTGGGCTTTCTTTGATCTATATTTTGAGATTTATATGTACTCCCCGGGGGCCCGCGGGTGAAATCAGTCCCCCGTCCCCTCCCCGCCCAAATGCGGGGCCCCGTCCCCGACGCACCCGCGGGTCGAAAATTGGCCCCGCCCCCGCCCCCGTAGGGGTGGGTCCCCGCAGGGGACCCGGCCCCGCGGGGGAAATTGCCATCCCTAATTGCCACGAGGAACCAGTCCTCCCAAGTCCGAAGTCCCAACTCCCCGGGCCAGTCAAAACCAAAGTCAAACTTCTCTCCTTGAACGTGGACGCCGGGCCCCACTCCCCCCCCGGCGGAACAGGGACAAAGCCGTAAATTCCGCCCCGTTTCGCTGTGCCGTGCCGTCCCTTCCCCTCCCGTGCGTCTCGGCCTCGCCTAGTGTTTGAGGGGTCCAAAGTCTCCGTGTCGTCTCCACGACTCCACTTGCTCTCCTCTCGCTCTCGCTCTCCCTCTTCCTCCCACCTCCAGATCGATGCGTCGGCGGTAGATCTCGCTCGCCTCCTCCCCCTCCTGCTCGACGGCGAGGAGAGCCACTAGCCATGGGGAACTGCTGCTCCGACGAGATGGGCGGCGGCGGCGGCCACGCGGGCCGCCACTCCGTCGGCCCCGCGGCGGCCGCGGCTGCGGCGGCGGCGGAGGCCGCGTCCGCCGCGGCCGACCGCTTCCTCCGCTCCCGCGGCGCCGGCGCGTCCACGCAGGTCGAGGTGCGGAAAACCCACACACAACGCACACACCGCCTCACGCCCCATCCATGCGGTTTAATTCTGCTTCACACCATAGCAGTAGTAGTAGTAGTAGCGCGCCGCCAGGTGCTCGCGAGCGAGCGCGCGTGGGTGGCCGTGCCATTGCGCCGGGTGCGCTTCGGTTGCGTGCGTCGCTGGCGGTTCTCCAGTTTCGCGCCGTTCTGCGTGAGTCTCGTGGTTTGCGCCTTGCAGCGACGGGACTAGCGGATGCGTGTGGTCTGTGCCTCAGCTAATTTACTCCGCTACCTGTTCTCAGCCTTGCAAACAAACAAACAAAAAAAAAGGAGAAAAAACCCGAGGGATTTCGTGTTGATCGGGATAAAAAACCATTACACGACGATGATTGGGAGCGGGCGTGAAATCTGAGCATGCCGTGTGCTCTTGGTTTGACACGGCACTGAACATTCTGATGTTCTGACGGCTGCAGCAGTTGGCTGCTGATGTTCTTCTAATTGATAACGTTGCGTAAAAGATGATTTACTGTATTTGTGGTTTATTAGTAAGATTTTGTGCCTGAACGCTTGGGAGTCTGCAAGTTGTGTGGCTAAGTATTTCTGTCATTTCATACTACCTGACCTGGTAGTTAATCCAAAAACTTCAAATATTTAATACTGTGATGTTGCTTCATGTGATGACTATTATGATGCATGTGCATTGTATAAATTTATGTCTTGTTTGGATTTACTGATAGAAATGCAATTACCGAACTGATGAGGGTGTGTTTAATTGTGTTTTATTTTGACAAGAACTCTGTATAACCTGTTGAAACAGTTATCTCTCTCTGCATCAAATTTGGGCGACCAAGAATTCTTTACCAAGGTATGCTCCAGGTTTTCACTTGTTGCATTTTGTTAGTTTTGCTATTTTCTTATTTCAGTTTATAACTGATCGGTATTCTGGTCTGTTAGGTATCTACGATGAGCATTACTATTGCATGACATCTCTGTTTTTGATTAGTTAAGAATCATTAGATTTTTAGAGAAATTATTGTGAATAGATTTTGCAAACCCATAACTTTATTTTCACTTCTATCAAGGAACCACAAACTCAAATTCGAATTCCAAATAGCTGAGAGCTACCATGTTAAAGAGCAATACTTGTAAAAAAAAACTGCAATTCTGTCAGAAAGCCACATCAGTTGTCAACATGCTACCATGTCTGTCCATACTGGACTACTCACTTCTCATCCCATTTTCCACCTTCATTGGTGTGTTGACAACTTGACATATTTTTATAGGCATGCTATCCCTGAATACCTTACCCCTTAGCTTTCCATGGTGCTGGGGAGATGAGGGTGTCACCCTTGTCCTCCTTTGAACCTGCTACTCCACTACTGCCTCCGTTCAGTTCCTGTCTCCCAAACACACAAACCTGTGGCAATTGACATTGTCATACCATGGTGGTATTTTGGCAAACTAAGACTTACCCAGTGAATTGTTGGCAATGATCATACTTGAGCTTGAACAGTTGCATATACTAGTTTGTTGGCTGCCTGAGCTGCCTTCTAAGTTACCTGTTATAAGTTTCATGCTGGTGGCTCCTACCGTCCGGAGACTATTTTGTAAAACCTACAGATGAATATTTTGGAAGTCCATGCTACGTGCCTATATCCAATCATAATTCACACCCAACCAAATTTAACGTGAATACGTGATATCAGTAAATATCCATCCATATCCAAAAGACATAGTCCATATAACTGCAAATTACAAATTGATCTGTTTACAAACCAGAGCGCCCATGCCATTATCATGGAAGCCTCGGTGAATATTTGTGCAGAAATAGTTGCAGTCACCTTTCTTTTGACATGCATGCCATCCTGAATATTTAATGAATTCTGCTTGTGCTATCTAGTTATACTTCCCTTAATATTTTATCATCTTTTCTCAGAGCAATCCCATGGTCATTGTATATTCTAAAAGCAAAGAAGGAGCACTTGAAGAACTTGGGCGTACTGAAGTAATATTGAATTCTTTGAACCCATCTTGGAATGCAAGAATCAACGTGCACTACCAGTTTGAGGTTCTTCAACCAATTGTGTAAGCGTCTGTTACAATTTACTGTAAAATTGTCACATGGTACCCATTAATTATGCTATTCTTTTAACAGCTAACTTTCTTTACAGGTTTCAGGTATATGACATTGATCCACAGTTTCATGATGTCAATGAAAAGGTAATTTGGTTAGTTGTTTTCGTTCTTGCTTTCAAATATCTTTTTGTCCATTCAGCCAGTTATAAAGTCCAAAGATGACAAGATCTGGCATGTTAGAGGGACCCTTTGGTCAGCAGGGATAAATGTAGCGTAAATTCAGTTATTTGTGAGTTAGGTTGAATGAAGTCTTAATTTTATGCCTAACATAAAATAAACTCCATACTAAGAATTAACGCTTGTGCTTATGATAACTATAGATTTGAATTACCTTAGTTTGCTCTTTCTAGTCCCTAGCATTTCCTTGTGCTGATGTTATTAAGCTACATTTAAATGCAGAAGTTTGATTCTTCTAGGATGTTAGAGCATCTGATGTATGGACTATTGAGCACATTCTTCTTTCGTTCTTCTTTCAGTTACTTTACAATACTTACTCTAATATGATATTCAACACAGATGCTTAAACTGGAAGAGCAACAATTTCTTGGGGAGGCTGTCTGTCTTTTGTCTGAGGTATGCCTGACTTTGGCTAAAAAAATTTTGTGGTCATTTATTCCTCTCGGTTATTTAATATACATAATACCTTATGTTGACACATGATTTCTTATTGTGTACTGTTTGTCATGGAATGGAGAACTTTAAAACTCATTGAAAAGGCCTTAAACGTAAGGTGGATTCCATGTATTCTTCCTACTCTTCAATTTGTCATATATGAAATTTATACACTATTGGAGTTGTTTTGATAATTTAAAGGTAAAAGGAAACTTAACCTGTGAAGGAAAACTTAACTGTTCTGTACTGTTTCTGTTATAGACCAGGTTCATCCTGTCACATGCATGTATATATAGCTTCTGCCATTTTGGTGCCCTACAAAACAACACCCATAAATTCCTGTAGTTTTACTATGAGCACATCTCTTTTCATGATTGCAAAGTTACACTTGTATCAGATTAAGAGTAACGCCAATTCAAAAGCCTGTATTATTAGTCTGTTTGAAGATTACTCCTTATGTTAGATGCTTGGCGTTTTTAATTTTTTACAAGATCATGATGTTTTTGCAGGTTATCACTAAACAAAACAGACTGTTGACTCTAAAGCTTGGCGTTTCCGAACATAACCTACCAAATCCTAGTAAATTTGGTGAACTAAATGTTCAGGCAGAAGAAAGTGCTGGTTCAAAAGCAATAATGGAGATGGTATTCCGCTGTTCAGATCTTGAAATCAAGGACCTTCTCTCAAAAAGTGTAAGCTTATGTTTCTATTACCTTGTTCATTTTTATTTTGTATGTATTTACCATTGTTGTACCTGCAGTTCGTCCATGCCTCTCTGTACCTAAACACGACTTGTTTATTCTGTGTATTGTAAGTGTTTTTACCATTCTAAGTTTGCTTGTTACAGGATCCCTTTTTACTAATATCTAGAATATCAGAGAGTGGAGTGCCTGTTCCAATTTGTAAGACGGAAGTAAGGAAGAACGACCTCAATCCCAAGTGGAAGCCAGTGATCTTGAATCTCCAACAGATTGGAAGTAAGGCATGAGAACTTTCTTCATCCTTTTGCATTTTCTATTTATGTTGGCCAATGACCAATGATTTGTATGAAACTAACCAGGTATATTCTGTTGCAGGAGAACCCTTTAATCATAGAGTGCTTCAACTTCAGTAGCAACGGCAAACATGACCTAATAGGGTAATTATTCTCTTTTTGTATGGTTTTTGCACACTATAAATGCATGTCCTTTTATTTTTTGCTGTTACTTTAATCCCTTTACTAGTATGTTCTATGGTACCTTAGATCCCAGGCTATTAATTGTTGAATTCCAATTTGTTTTCTGATTAATCGTATCTCACCATGCTTTTTGCTCTGATTGTAAATGCATGTCCCTTTATTAATTTTGTTTTTGCTGTTTATTCTGTTTACTAGTATGTTCTATGGTACCTTAGATCCTGGGCCATTAATTGTTGAATTCCAATTTCTTTTCTGATTAGATACCCTTTGTAATTCGACAGCAAGATAGTAAAATCGGTCGCAGAATTGGAAAAGATGTATCATAGTCAGGATGGTGAAAATTTCTTTGTTCCTGCCAGCACTGCTCATGATAGTCACAGTAAGGAGGTAATATTTGTTACTGTAGAACTCTGCGGTTGCTATATTGTAGTAACTGAGTGTTACTATTGCATGTAGGTACTAAAGAGTCAAGTGTATGTGGAGAAATATCTTGAGAACAACAGACAGACTTTTCTAGATTATATTTCTGCTGGGTGCCAATTGAATTTTATGGTAGCCGTAGACTTCACAGGTGTGCTAGTTCTTGCTGATCTTACCCTATTTCAGCTCTCTAGTTCATAAACTCATACTTAATTCGTTGCCCTCGATGTTTTGTGCTCTGTAGCTTCAAATGGAAATCCACGGCTTCCAGATTCCTTGCATTATATTGATCCCACTGGTCGGCCAAATGCATATCAGAGAGTAAGCAATTGATTCATTATCTCTTAGTTCTTGTGTTCCGATGGCCCTCTGAGAACATTGATTTAAGTACTTCCACTGTTTTTTATTGGTGGCAGGCAATACTGGAAGTAGGAGATGTACTACAGTACTATGACCCAGCTAAGCGGTTTCCCTCATGGGGCTTTGGTGCTAGACCTATTGATGGTCCTGTTTCCCACTGTTTCAACCTGAATGGTAGCACCTATCAACCTGAGGTATTCTACTTTTTGCTACCTTAATTACTACCGACTTCTGCAGAAGAATTACCAAGTGCCACATCTGGGAAACAAACATGGAAATCTTCCTTTTCTTGCCCATCTTATTTTAGTTTACAACACATTTCTTTCTCTTTTGTAAGAAATTTTGTACTTGGTGTTTTATGGTTTTGAGATGTTTCTTGAAGTTATCTGTTAGCTGTTTGCCTATTGCCTGAGTGCCTGACTATATCAAACTTCCTTAGGTTGAGGGAATACAAGGGATTATGTCAGCTTATATCAGTGCGCTTCGTAATGTCTCATTGGCTGGGCCCACCCTATTTGGTCCAGTAGTTAGCACTGCTACGGCAATAGCAAACCAATCACTTGCCAACAACCAGCAGAAATACTTTGTTCTGTTAATAGTCACGGTATGCATAAAGAGGAATCCATGTTTTCCTAAAATAATATTTTTTTTTCTTCTGTGCTGTCAATGTTATTCTTTTTGTTGTCCAGGATGGTGTGGTGACTGATTTCCAAGAGACTATCGATGCAATCATAAAGGCATCTGATTTTCCTTTGTCCATTCTTGTTGTTGGAGTTGGTGGAGCGGACTTCAAGGAAATGGAGGTAATGGGACTGGAAAATTTCTTGCACTTTTATGATTCGTCTGCATATTTCTTATCAGAGCAAAAATTCAAGCGTTAACCATATCATCTGTCAGTTCTATTTTTTCTGAAGTTTTTTGTTTACATAAGTATGACAGATTGTACCGTAATGCCATGATGTGATTGGCTGATTGCTAATGCTTTAGCGTCATACAAAAAATGTGGAACCTCAAGTTGATGTTAAAATTTCACCTTGCACCTTGCAGTTTCTAGATCCAAATAAAGGAGAGAGACTAGAAAGCTCAACAGGAAGAGTGGCATCAAGGGATATGATACAGTTCGCCCCAATGAAGGATGCCCATGGTATGCATTTCCTTCTGCATGTGATGATTCTTGGTATCTTGCGTTACATGGAAAACTAAGCAAATGTGATAATTCAATTCTGTGCTTGCAGGCAGTGGGATTTCGACAGTTCAGTCACTTCTTGCTGAAATACCAGGGCAGTTCATGACCTACATGAGAACAAGAGAAATTCAAGCAATCAGTTAATATATGGTGCCGTCTATTTGTGATTCTTAGTTGATAGAAGATGCACATTCTAATGGTCTTGTTGGTATGGTTTTGGCTGTTGGGCCACATCATCATGCAAATTTTAAAGCCATTGATGTGTGAAAAGGTGGAAAGATGGATAGTCTGGACATGTTACAAGTAAGAAATATGGATCTGCTGGAAATTTGTAGCCAAGGTCTAATATCAGTGGCGCATTGTCCGTACTTGTCTTGTTGCTACTCATGTTGACAATGTGGTGCAGGGCAATTGAATTGAGGCATGAATTGCTTGGCACTGCAGATTGGAAACTGTTGTCTCTGAAGAAACATTTGAATTGTGTATGATTCGTGTAAAGGTCAAAGGTTCGTAGTTTCGAACTTGCTGCTCAAATCAAGCGAGTGGTAGTTTTTTTTTCTTCTATATTCTGGTTATGGTGCTGAGTTTCCTCAGATTAGCGGTTTCTATCTGGGATTCGTCTTCTTCATACCTGCGTGTAAGATCATGTCTTGAAATTAAGGGTTTGAACCCCATGTTGACTCTTTGTGCGTACCTGGTAAAAAACATTTTTGTCAGTAACTCTACCATGTTCTGGTGTTATATTGATGTTACATATAGTTCTGTTAGAAGTTAATTATGCTTATTGAGGGTTGTACCAATTGCGTTGTCGTGATATTTATTGTTGTTATACCTGCATTGTCGTTACAACTATCATTATCTTGTCTCAGGGTACCTGCACTGACGCTTTGATGTGTTTAAATATTTGTTAGTATTAGTACAATCTCAGAAACTTGTACCAAGAATACTCCACTTAGGGCTGTGCGTCAGTGCAGTGCAGTTCTCAATCTTCACATAATTCTGAAGCCAGAGTAGCTTGCAATACTTCCCCTGCTATTGCGATGTCAATGCCACCGCATGATGCATCGGAAAGCTCTTCTATATGGAATTCTGGATGATTAAGGGGGTGTTTGGGAGAGAGAATAAACTTTAGTCCCTCTCTCTAGGGATTTATTTTTTTGGAGAGAGGGACTAAAGTCTCTCCCAAACACCCCCTAATTCCGTCAGCTGCTGCGCGTTGCATCTACCTGATTGTTGAATTCATTTACCAACTTTGTCGTGTTCTTGAGCTATCGTCTATGTCCAGAACTCCGCCGGTGCACGACATGACGAGGATAATATAATATAAACAACGTGATACTTAGGTTCTGTTTGGATACCCCGACTAAATTTTAGGTCCTGTTTGGATACCCCGACTAAATTTTAGTCCATGTTTTGGGTTCTTATATTTTGATTATTCATAAATTTTTCTCCAATCACTCTTCATTTAAACCCCCAAATCTTATTTCTAGTCCTATTTCTAACATATTAGTCATCAGTCTACTATTGAATAATCAGATAAATCAAGTATTTTAAGTAGGAACAAAAATATTTATAAAAATTCATGTATAAGTATTACCATTTTGACCGTTCCTGATTTTGGCCATACATAAAATTCGATTTTCTTTCTATTTCTTTAGCGCATCATACAGTCTATTGGTAAATAGTTAAATTGGTAAATATATAAAAAGATCATTTTACTCACTTGAACTATTTTGGCGAAGCAGCTTAAACCCCTAAATAATTTTTCGTTTTATACCCCCGAACTATTAAAAGTGGTTCCCCTTATTGTGTAATAATATTTCTTATTTTTTTTATCTCTCTACATATAAGTCATACGTTTGTTCGACTACTAATATTCGTTGTTAACTTTCTCGATGTTCGTGTCGTGCGCTGAAGAGCCAATGCCATGAAGCAGCAACTAGCGTTTGTGTGTGTTGTGTCATCACCTGATTAGAGCTAGCTCTACCGCCCTATTTATATTTTAAACCTGCGTTCGCCACTGTCAGAAGTTATGCCAGCTAAAACTAGAATACAGTCCGTAAGCGGGTACAAATTGCAGTTCTACAGGATTCAGGTTCTAGAATCGCAATATAATAATATCACAAGGAGAGGAGATGTCTAAAAAGAGGACAAATCTCATTCAGTGGAGATCTCGTCGGAACAGGAGCTACGCATTTTCTGCACGCGGTGGACACTAGTTGTGGACATGTGGTCCCATTATAATTAAGAATTCCTAGACAGGTCTTAAGATGTTGCGTGATGGTAAAATCATGGGTAAATACTTAAATCCTAATCCTGATGCAAATGAATACTTACGTACGTGCATTCAATTATGCTTTTAATTAATATAGGACTTTTGTATCTTGAAGGGTGTGTTCGGGGCACACTTGTTGTGTCTTGTGTAATAAAAGAACTATGAGATGAAGGGATTAATGAGCATAGAATTATGCTAGATTAAAGATTGCCAAAACACAAAAAATAGGGGGAAAATGTAATTATCGATTCAATGACAGAGGAGAAACGCATAGCTCAAGATACAAGAAGAAAACATTAGTTGAGATCTTATGCTTATTTTACTCTAAAATTACTTTAGAATAGCCCATTCCATAGTAACTTCAAAGGAATTTGTAGTACTTTGTTCTAAAAAACTATAAAGATTTTTTTCCCAGAATACAAATCTATAATTTTGATATTTTTACTTTGTTCCGAAAGGAGCTGAAAGGCTTATTCAAATAAAGAGTTGTTTTTGGAGTTCCAAAGGACACTTTATTCCTGATTTTTCCTATTCCCATGCTTTCAAAACCGTGAGCTTCAAAGGAGCCTTAGGTTGTTTTCTTCCCCTTTTTTCCCAACTGACCTCCCTTGTTTTCCCTGCACACACTTTTCTAACTACTAAATGATGTTTTTTTTTCAGTTTTCTATAGGAAAGCTGCCTTAAAAAATTATATTAATCAAATTTTCAAGGTTTTTTAGACGAATACTTAGTTAATCACATGTTGATGGGGAACACCATTTTTCGTGCGGGGAGGTGGAGTTACCTGAACTCAGCCTTAGGGTTTATTTAGAACACACGAATTTACAAGGCTCCATATAAACTAGTTTAATTCTTGTAATTTTTTCTCTGAAAATCTTCCATTTCAAGAGACCATATATCTTCTGATATAATTATTTATCAATAACATTATAAATTCCCTATGTCTGAAAATATAAGATGAAAAAAATAATATTTATATCATTTAACTAATTAATAATGCATATGTTAAGCATACCACATGTGGTATCTTATATCAGATTTGCATCTAAAAGTATTTTTTTATAGCTATTGATAAATTGACGGTCAAAGTATAATAGTAGTAATACATAGTCGTAAAAACAAATTAATATGTAGTATTATATAATTGTGAGCTAGCTAAATTAACCGTGTGTTGCTCGCATTCCTCTCTGTGACAATTAATCTGCATGGAAACGTGCGACGCGTGCAAAAGCTAGCTCCCCTCGCACCGTATGGCATCGATCGAGCCGTCACGTCCGTCGTCCGGCCCATCTCTAGACAGCCATAGCCAGTATGACCCGTTTGGTACACTGCACGTAAGTGCATGATCATGGAGATGGACGACCAATTGTACTCCTTACTGCGTATCTTTGACTAGTGGCCCGGCCGCTGCATAGATCGATCGTATGTAATCGTGTGGACCACACGATATCTCTTGCGTGGTGCTGAGCGTGATGGATCATCGGCTTCCGGTTGGCCGGCGCCGGCCATTCTTTCAGTGAACGCAACCCCCTCAGTATCTGTCTAGGCACCATCCTGTCGGGCAACTTGTTTTTTTGCAAATTAAGTTGCAATTGACTCTAAACGATTATATACACTATCATACACCACTTAGAAATTAAAGTTGCTGGACTCTTAACCCCTAGTTCCCAATTTATCTTCATCGTTTTCCGCGAACACGCTTTTCAAACTACTAAACGGTGTGTGCTTTGTAAAAAGTTTCTATACGAAAGTTGCTTTAAAAAATCATATTAATCCATTTTTCAAGTTTTTCTGCTAACACTTAATTAATCATGCTTTAATTTATCGCTCCGTTTTACGTGCGGAGGGGAGAGATTCCCAACCCCTCCAAAAGAACACACCCAAGCTATGATTTAGGGTCGCCGCAGATACATGCTTTCATGATTTCATCTACTTGGTCCCATGATGAGATGTTGTCCGTCCTCACCGTGTCATAGGCATAGCAATCTATGGAAATTGATGCATATGACCCAACCATCCGTTTTATATCCGACTAAATATACTTGTATATTATTGGCAGACTACACTTATATAAATAGTTGTAAATTTGTGTATTATTGACTGCTCCGTATATAAATGTAGCCTGTCAATAATACACAAGTGTACGACTATTCATTGATAATACCTTCTACTGGTTTTCCTCTCTCCTAATTCAGAACTTCCACCCTTGCTTGAGTAAATGGTGTATAGAGTAGAATGAATTTTATTTTATATCTACTTTAATCATCATCTGTTTTTAAGCTTGCCCGGCCTATAAAAAATATATATCTAGATCACCTTACAAGATCAAGTTGATGTTATGAAATATCAAACTTACGGCGAAAAGCCTTAATTTAAACCTCTAAATCGGAAGATGAATTCTAATCACTTGGGTGGAGATCCACCTGTTTATTGCATGTCAACTAAATGGTTATGATTTTTTTTAAAAAAATTTTGACAAGATAGATCAATATGTAATATTCACTCTGTAAACATGCAAGTTCAGATTCAACATTTACAGGTTGTAACAAAAATAAAAAATATAATTGCAAATATACCTTACTAATTTGAGTTTTATTTTTTATTTTTGTTACAATTTGTAGAAGTTGAATTTTAATGTTTGTGGAGTGATATATTACATATTGATTTATATTGTCAATTTTTTTTATAATTGTTTAGATGGCATGCAATAAACGGGTGAACATCCACCAGGTAATTAAAAGAGTTTCCCCTCTCAATCGTGACAGGCCGTCTTGCGTGAAAAGAAAATCACACGGAGTCCTCCAAATGGCCCAGAGCTACTTTCATATTCCAAATTAAAGGGTATCAATGAAGTACCTACCTGAGTTCGCCTTGATCTAGCTTGGGTTTAGAATTTGGTGCATGGTTCCCTTATTGTGTTTATTTATTTGTAAATAGAAATTTAATCTAAATTGAATGTCACAAGCTTTGGATTCCTATAGGGTTTTAGAACACATAAATTTTGGGTTTGTGCACTGGAAGAAGGACATAAAACATTTATAGAAATTTTGAAGGAAGTTATTTAATTTCATGCAAGAGAGATGCTCGAGAGGGAAATCAAGAGAGCGCACGAGCTGACGAGCTAGGAGAAATGAAGAAAAAATTTCTAATGATCAAAATCCTCCAAATTTCATTTGAATATTCTTCAATTATATCCTAATTAATAATAGATATGTATTATACCGTTCCACTATATAGCAGCGCATGTTATCTCAGAGCAACTCTGAACAGCTAAATCCATGAGGAATTAATAACATGAAAAAACATTCATACCCTTGTTTTTTTTTAAATGATCCTATACCTTGCAAGTCGTACATATAATAGCTCACAAATCACAATCTAATCATGTAGGTGGGATCTAGGATGTGCCGCTGGTTCTCGTCTTTTAGAGTTTTAGAGTTTGTGTTAAGTATTCACGGGGGTGAGAGTGTGGTGTTGTGTGTGTAGCGGTGCGTGCGTCTGTGGTGTAAAAAGAAGAGTGTGTGTGCGCGCGCCGGAAGGCATGTGCACGTAGGGAAATTAACAACCACGTTTGAGGTATACACGTAAGAGGGATGCCAAGGCAAACTCAAAGACTTTCTCCGCTTCAGTTTGCTTCTTTTCTTCCTCCATATCAAAGCAAAAAGATAGTATTCTCCCGACGAGACCCATATCGATCATATCCATTCCCAGTATCCAACTTCGAATTAATCTCGAGCGATTATATTTCTCCTGTGGCTCCACTAATTATCTAGTACTACGTATTTTTTAGCTTGATAATTAGCTCAATCAATCAAGAAAGCGATCGATTCAGAGAGCTAGCGCGAAGCTGACCAAGATCTCCAAAGCAGCAAACTAATTAAGGTGGAGCATCGGAGGCATGGGAAGCGGCCTCTACCTGACGACCATCCGCAGCCTCGTCGGCCTCGGCCGGACCAATCGCCGCCGCCGCCGCAAGCTTGGGCCGGCAGCGGCAGCTCAGCCATGTCGTCGCGGCAGCCGATAGGATCCGGAGGCGGCGGCGCGCCCCCGGATTGGCACGACGTCGAGCCGCAGTGGCAGCCGGTGGACGACGTGGTCACCGTGGCCGCCGCCGCAGCCTACCTCGCCGCGCCGGCCGGGGCGACGCTGTCGTCGGAATCAGCTGACCGGCGGTGGCGGCCGGTGGGGCCTTCAGCCGCCGCCGCCGCCGCTGCCCTGCAGGCCGTGGAGGCGCAAGGTACGTACGTGTTACAGTTGCACACACGTAATCCAACTATCCAAGTACGTAATTAAGCTGCCATGATCGCTATGATTAACCGTAAGCTATCTACAAGAGTATAGATCCATCGGTTTATCTATTTATTAGAAACTTCGGGCAATCAAATTTACCTATTTCGTGTAGATTAAGATGGTTAAATTAGTGTTCCAGACCTCCAATACGTCGTATGATTTTTTTCTTAATCAAACTACTAAAAAATTTAATTAAGTTTGTAGTAAAATAATGTAACATTTTTAATACAAAATAAACATTATATCAAAATATATTTAATGTTAAATTTAATGAAGCTAGTTTGGTGTTATAGATGTTAATATTTTTTTCTATAAACTTATTAAATCTAAAAGTATAGAAAAAAATTAAACGACTTATAATATAAAACGGATAGAGCAACTATAATCACGTATCGGCTGTTTAATAATCCCACATAATTTGATAATAACTTAGAGTGATTAACTTGCTGTATGATTCTTGAAAAATAGAGTAGCTTGCGAGTGATTTCTACTCGTGTTAAAGCAAATTTTCTTCTTGAAAGCAAAAGGGGGAAGAACGCAATTCTGAACGTGCGCGTGTGCCTGACTGCAGGTGCGGCGGCGGCGGAGCGGCACTACCGTGGCGTGCGGCGGCGGCCGTGGGGCAAGTGGGCGGCGGAGATCCGGGACCCCAACAAGGCGGCGCGCGTCTGGCTGGGCACCTTCGACACCGCCGAGGCCGCCGCCGCCGCCTACGACGACGCCGCGCTCCGCTTCAAGGGCGCCAAGGCCAAGCTCAACTTCCCCGAGCGCGTCCGCGGCCGCACCGGCCAGGGCGGCTTCCTCGTCTCCCCCGCTGTGCCCCGCCCGCCGCCGCATGGTGTTCCCGCTCCCGCGCCCGCCGTGGCGCCGGCGCCGTTCCCCGACCTGATCCAGTACGCGCGGCTGCTGCGGAGCGGGGAGGACGCCGCCGCCGCCGCCGCCGTGGCCGGCATTGCGGCCACCGCGGCGCCGGCGGCGCAGATCCTGGACTTCGCGGCGCAGCGGCTCGTCGGGGTCTCTCCGGCGATGGCGCCGCGCCCGCCGTCGACGCTGCCGACGACGACGACCGCGGCGTCGTCGCCGAGCGCGTGGCCTCACGGCGGCGGCCACGGGAGCTAGCGCGCGCGAGAGAGATCGAATACGCTCGTGTCATCGTGGGCATGCATGGGTGGCGGCCATATTTTTTGTTTTTTTCAGCATCTGTGCTGTGTGCGTGTGCATGTCCTTGCAACGGGGTAGTTTAATTTGGTTTGTGCCTTTGTCTTTCAGAAGGTATTTGCTCGATTTTACGCTTAAAACTTTTGATTTCTTGTCACCTAAGGTAACACACTACTAATTCTAAAAATTGTAGTCCTAGGTAAGATATAACTTTTGTGCATTTTTTACAGTATTTACTATTTTTTTTTGTTGATGTGTATGGTTTTGCTTTATTTTTTATCACTTATGAATATTTTCATATCAAAATTTTTGTAAATATTTTATGTCTATGTGAAAATGTTTAACATGTTAACTAAGGAGGAAAGGGACTGTTGAGAAAAGGTATTACCAGTGAGATCAATTAGATTTGTATTCAAGGAATGAGAATAGTTGTTTAAATGATTTAGGGATTTTCAAGGTTGTGGAGATTTCTAGTTGACCAAAATAAAAATCAACTTCAGAGATGAATTTGGACATATATATTTTTCTTATGTTGGAGAGACTAGCTTACAGGTGATTGAAATCTTTGCATATTGTCATGGGTTTCTTTTTTCATTAGTCTGAAATTGTAGCCACTGGATCTTATCATCAACCTCACCCCATATTAAAACAAAACCCTTTATTTCAGAGATAAATAGTTGTTCAATGAATATTTTCTAACTTTACGTATCACTAAAAATTGTAGACTTATTCATACGTAGTAATGTATTTTTTATACTTAACACGTAATAATTTTGGTTATAGGATATAATTGATTTTTTTTTGCTATTAATAGTCAAAGTTAAAAATGTTTGACTTTACATTATGCTAAAAATGTTTATATTTTGGGACGGAGGGAATCTAATTCTCTCTGCTTTGACCTTCAATATTATGATCATATAGTCGTGGTGCGTAGTGTAAGAGATGGGCATAGATCAGCCCACAAAATTAGTAAAATTAGTTCACTTGATTAAATTGACAACCATTATACATGGACTACTCTTCATCAATTGATCTTCATCGATTGATTTGTAGCCCCTCTTCTTACCAATGAAAACATATTCACTTCTATGAATAGAGGAGAGAAAAGGGATCAATTGATCATCCAATGTTATGTTCACCAGTGAAATTAAGTATCTTCTCCTTCCCAAGCCTTTGTGCTACCAAGACTACCAAAGATAACATTTGTGCTACCGGATATTTCCACTACATGGTTTTCCTTATCCTGCATGATTCATCATGAGGGCATTGGAAATAGGCCAAGGATAACAATGTGTGTCAAAAGCGGAAGTGGATCCTCTGACTTATATGTGAGATGTATATATCAGTGGCACATCTACAAACTGCATAAAGTCATGGAAGCCTCATCCCGTCGAGAGCACACAACCCATTGTTGTTTGGATGAAAAATGCCTATCAAACATGTAGGGTTATCGCGTGTTATATATGTGTGAGCGCATATGAGTCCAAACTTATTGTCAGGTTGGTTATATAGTGGTTCTATTGAGCCAAAACCTTATACACTACTTAAAAACCTTAATAGGTGATGGCTCATATGTGTCGGTTCATTTAAAACTGACACCTATTAACCGTTTCCCACCTTCACGAGATAAAAAATACCGACACCTCCAAAAACTTATAGGTGTCGACTCTAAATAAAACTCGGTACCTATAAGTACTTGTGTTTTCAAAAAACAAAACTGACACCTATACTAATTTTATATGTATCGATTCTTTAAAAAACCGACACCTATAATTAATTTTTTTAAAAAAATCTGCCCATTGAGCCGGCTTATGTTATCTACTCGTGAAACCCCATCGGAACCGTATCCGCCCTTTCTTGCTCCTTCTTATCCATTGCTGCCACTCCTACTTCCTCCTCCTAAGCACCCGCCACTGCCCCTCCTTCTTCCTCCCTTCTCCTCTTTCTGGATCTGCCGCCCCTCCTCCTTCTTAGCCGCCGCCGCTACCCCTCCTTCCTCCTCTTCTCCAACCGGCCGACATTGCTGCGACCACGGGGCCAGATCCGCTGCCGTGACGGTGGCGTTCTCCATGTGTTGTGTTTGCGATTTTGTTGATTTTGTGATTGTGTTTGGTTATGGGATGATAATGATCTCAATGATGATTTTGATTGTGTTTGGTAGATGGGGATGATATTGATCTCAGTGATGATGGAGAGTTTCTCGAATCGAGCCGATGCATTGAGTTAGCTTTTTTTTTTCTTTTTTCCATTACTAGAACCTTAAAAGTATTGGTTCCTAAACTAGCACCTTTGGTCCTTAAAGGTGTCACTTGTTGGGTGTTGGTTTGGAAACCCGGTACCTGTGATCAATTTTTAATCGGTACCAATCTCTTTTATGTAGTAGTGATAATGAATGCATGTATTTAATGGAAGAAAAGATCCATTATAAAAATAATATTGTGTGATCACCTACAGACTTTTCATGTAGATTGTGCTCAGTCAACTTTACTTTTGCACGTTATATATGCCCATTTTTCAACCATAAGAAAAAGATGCTTCGTTTGACAGAAAAACAGCACCGTATGCACGTGGCCAAGTCGTGTGCTGCAACAGACACACGTGGCACGTTCCTTACCACGCCAACGCAAACCGATCACTTGAGCCATTCCGATCTGAACCCATTAAATTCCAAGGAAACAAGTCAACAACTAGTTAGATAGAACCAGTAAAAAAAGAAAAAAAAAAGAAAAATCACGAGGGTTAATCAGGCCGACGTAAGCAAGTAGCCCAAGGCCCAGCGAGTACTGGGCCTGGGCCAGCATCCTTCCGTGCTCCCCTTCCCTTCTTGTTTTTTTTTTCTCTCTCTCCTCCTGCAATTCTCGTCCACTCCGTGACGCCACCACGCCGCCTCGCCTCGACCCGATCTCCTCTCCACCCACCCGATCCACCCGCCGGAGAGGAAGGCCGCCGCCGCCGCCATGCTCAGGGTCGCCGGGAGGCGCCTCACCACCGCCCTCGCCTGGCGCCCCGCCGCGGCGGCCGGCGCCAGGGGCCCGCTCGCCGGGGGCTCCCTCCCCGGCGACGACGAATTCTCGCGTGAGCCCCAGAGGCCGCGCTTCGCCGTGGATTCCCCGTTCTTCGCCGCTTCGAGGGGTATGTACGCGGCCCGCATGCCTCCCGCCCTCTGATCTGCGTGGGTTCGGGGTGGGGGGGGGGGATCCAGCTTTTCTTCCTGCTCTCCCAGGGTTTCGGAGGGGGATCCCGGTAGTCGCGGTTGTTTGGTTCCTGATCGGTGATTTGATATTAGTTTTTTTTGGATGCTTTCCTGCTTCCGGAGCTCGTTGATCTCTATGTAATCCATGCATGCTTGATGCGTTCTCTGTTCATACCTTGTTTGTTCCTAGCCTGCGAGCGCATGATTGGATTTGTATTTTAGTTTAGCGGCTAGAGGGATGATTGGATATTAGAAGTTTTCCACGATTGATGTTATGCTTATGCTTTGGTGTGTTTCCGTTTATTCAACTGAGTCGAATTCGTTGTGAACGCTCTTTTGATTGATTTGTGCTCACTCCAGATACGTAAATAGTCATGCGTAATGTCTATGTGGCATATGAGATGCTTCATCTGAACACGTGTGGGCTTGGTTAGTGGATAGCTGGATCATATAATTATGTGCAATTTTTCTTCACGCGCAAACTTTCCTGATGACCCACACTCAGATAGAGCAACTTTTAGGTAAGTCCTTGTGAATGCTATCTTAGAATTGTTATGTATACTCATGTGTGAGATCTCCTTGTTCATACCACAGCACAGAAATATTAGATGATTCTCTACATGATCACTGTTCTGAGCAAAGATAAGCTTGGTATGATAATATTGAAAATGCAAGTTTGAAAGCTTGCTATAGTGTTCAGTATTATGGTTTTTATTAGTAATTAATCTAGCCAGGCATTAGGTAGTTGTTGAAATCCATAGTTAGATTTGTGCCTCTTTTTGATACTTCAGTAAAATTTCTTTCTGGTTTAATTACCACATTTGTGGAGTTGCGGACTGCTAATGCTCCTGTTCTTTTGTGCTTTGGGAAAGATGTGCCAGAATTGAGTTTCTTCATTTAACATGATTAATGCTAATATCATTTTGGTTTGTGCTGTCCAGTCTGTTTTATTTTCATTAACACAGTCCCAAGAAAGCACATTCCACATGGTTCATTTAGTTTATGCAAACCACTTTTGATCACTCCTCTTTGCTCATTGATAATCTATGTTCCTAATGCTGTCAGCATGGATTTGCTGTTACCCTAAAATGCGCATAAATCTTGTCTCACATTGTTCTGGCATTTTCCTTGGCCAACATTATGTGAACTATAAGTTTGTTATGCTTCCATTTCCAATTCCGTACAACCTATGAAGATCAGCGCTCTTGATTGTTTAGATGTTGATGCTATTTTCCTATATGGTTAGTATGCATTTCTAACTATCGCAAACATGTTTGCTTAGAATCTGTTAAAAATATGAATCCTGTCTTCAGATACCTTGTTTTACGCAGTGGAACTTATATTTCCCCCATGAATTTATTTTGTTTGGATTTTATATCCTTTGATCTGCTTTCTTTATTAGTTTTGACTGGTAAAGATTACGCATGCTTTAGTTTTTTACTTACTTTGAAAGGAACCTCATAATTCTTATCGCATTAGTATGCTGCATTATATATTTAGATGTGACCATTTCTAGAATGCTTTACAAATATCCAGTATTGTAGTTTGGTTGTTCAGCAGTCAGCACTTCCATTTTTACCTTTTGCTTGTGCGCTCATCAAACATTTTGCAATTAGATGTTTTACAGATCACAATGTGCACCGTCTTATGTTACTGTTGAAGTCTGACTTCTGGTTGGATGTACTAACATTTGATAATAGAAACCTGGGTAGAAAACATTGAATGTTCTTCCTTGTTTGGAACAACTCAGATTGATCAGAACATAAGCTATCATGAGTTCGTAACCATACATTAATCAAGCATGCAATTCTGAGATCAGGGAGTTTGAACACTTACCACTAAAATAAATTTGATTTTTTATCACAATGGCAGTCTCTATGCATAGTAATATATAGAGATGATTTTCAAGTGTGAAATTTATTGGTGATACCGTGTTAAGATAAAATAATGCTCTGTTATCTTCATATCACCTTTTGTGTTACGTTGATATTTGATGATGTCATGTAACAGTAGTTCCCTTTTGCAGGCTTTTCCTCAGAAACTCTTGTTCCAAGGAACCAGGATGTAAGCTTGACTGAGCTTCCAGCAACAGTGTCAGCTGTGAAGAATCCCAGTGCAAAGATTGTATATGATGAATATAACCATGAAAGATACCAGCCAGGTGACCCAAGTAAAAGAGCGTTTGCATACTTTGTGTTGAGTGGTGGAAGGTTTATTTATGCTTCGCTTCTGCGCTTGCTCGTTTTGAAGTTTGTTCTAAGCATGTCTGCTAGCAAGGATGTTCTTGCTCTTGCTTCCCTTGAGGTGGATCTCTCTAGTATTGAGCCTGGCACCACTGTGACCGTGAAGTGGCGGGGCAAGCCAGTTTTTATCAGGCGCAGGACAGAGGAAGACATCAACTTGGCGAACAGCGTTGACATTGGATCTCTTCGTGACCCACAGCAGGATGCGGAACGAGTCAAGAACCCTGAGTGGCTGGTTGTGATTGGGGTGTGTACTCATCTGGGCTGCATTCCACTTCCCAACGCTGGTGACTTTGGTGGCTGGTTCTGTCCATGCCATGGATCACATTATGATATATCAGGTAGAATCCGTAAGGGCCCTGCACCATACAACCTCGAAGTCCCGACCTACTCATTTCTGGAAGAGAACAAATTGCTCATCGGCTGAGATTACATTGACCACAGGGTTTAAAATCTTATGGCACTTCTATTCTCTGTTGGTTTGACGTTTCACCTTTTTGTTGCTCTACTTTGTTGGACACCTTCTAGTAAAGAATAATGAGCTGCTACTTGGCTACTGTTAATTAATTTCCAAGTTTGGTTCTGTTACCTGAAATCAATAGGAGTTATCTTGTAATTGTCTTACAAGCTGGCACAGTGAAGCTTATATGTTGTCAACTGACATCCCTTCTCTTCAATCTTCGTGTATGTGATTGAATGTAGTTGATTTGTTTGTTATGAGAAACTTTTTGCCAATACTATTTGTGACATCATGATGATAGAATTGCCCTCAGCTGTTCAATTCTTCATAGGCTGTTGTAGGCTTGGCACTATTTTAATTTTATCTGTGTCCTTATATATGTTGTGATGACACGTATCGATGTGAAGCCGTAAAGTGGCTCTTCATGAACGCTTCATTTGCATGCAATGGCTGTAGAATGAGTTCCAATTTAGCGTTCTGGTGTGAAGACTCATTTTATGGAATTCTGAAGACATCTGGGACAGTTTTTGAACTGAAGACTTCTGGTGAGGTACTACTCTGTCCTAAAAAAATCAAACTCTAGCTACAAATCTGGACATACTCTGTCCCAAAAAAATCAAATTGTAGCTACAAATCTGGACATACATGTGTTCAGATTCATGGCTAGGAATGGATTTTTTTTTTTTTTTGGTACGGAGGGGTATGTTCCAAGCAAGTGTGGCATCTGATTGTGAGCACGCAGGCGATGAATGCGTACCAATGTTCCATGGATACTCTTTACAATCTCACCTACTACTGCCAGGCTTAGTCAATGGATCTTCTAAATATTTAAGATGCTGTACAAAATTCGAGTCGAATTCATGTATGCCAATCGAATGGCCCTGGTCCTTCATTATGTTTAGGAAAATGGTTCTTTGGACGTGCACAGCACAAGGACAGCGTGGTGCCCGTAGTCGCACACGACTCCCCCATATAATACTGGCAGTTTCTCTGCCAAGGAAACAAGGTGACTCTAGATATTCTCTCGCTATCGAAATAAAGAATAGAAAAGAAAGAAAACTACGTAACTGATCGTGTAAAAATGGTATTACGTAATGTATTTATGTTAGACTTTAGTTGTTTAAGCTTTGATCACTAAAACCTCTCAAATGAGACTACGGTGAATCTTTTTTTTTTGACGTAACGCACTTCCATAATATGATAGAGAAAATAAGATCTTTGTTACTTCGCACACTTCGATAATATGGTGTTTTTTTCTTAGTATCCATGTAGGCTTTTCAAGAAAAAAGACTAATGGTCAATTGTATTAATTATTTAGATTTTAGAAACGATGAAGTGAGTCTAACTTAACTGGTTAGGTATTTTTATGGTGGAACCAATCTACCCGTGTTCAAATATTAGAGTTGATACAGTTTCTTGCGTTTACGGCTATTTATTCTTCAGTGGTGGGCGACGTACCGTCGACAGAGAGACGCTTATGGTGGCTTTGTCAATCTCATAAGGATGAATTTGTGTGTATTGTAAGCGTCTGCATTTATAATATATTTTTAAAAAATATTTAGAAACGGAATAAATACTTGCTTCCACTTACACGTGTTACCCTAGCATATGTGGCAGTATAGCACATACCTTGGATCAATCCGTCCAGTTCTACAACTACCTATATCGTAAAATAAATTTTTGAGTGAAGTGCACCGGCGGTCCTCAAATTTATCGAGGTGTGTCATCTAGGTCTCTGTACTCTCAAATTACACTTTAACCTCCCTAAACTCGATTATGCACCCATTAGTGGTCCAAACCAGCCTTGGGATGATATTTTAGCCGACGTGGCATCGTGACGTGGAGGGTGCTAGACAACTGCGAGGGTAATATTGCAAATGGGCCCTTTATTTTGTCCAATCGTCACACTCATCTCCCCAGAGTCCCCTTGAGTTCTTCACGTCAGAGATGAAGTGCGGCAAGGTAGGTGACGCAAGGCGGTGATCGCCGGCGATTGGTGGCGATTCATTCAGATGAAGGGTAGAGAGGGTGGGGGAGGTTCTCAATTTGGACCAGACGACGACACTGTGGAGTGACGATGGTGGCAAGATGAAGCTGCGCCTGTTTATGGTGAGTCCATCGATCCTCAATCTGTGTTTGTTTGTACCTTTAGAGCAATCTGTGTTTGTTTATACCTTTAGAGCAACGGTATACAGTCACGTACGTGTGTTCTGGTAGAAATTCCAGGATTTGGCTGCTAGGTAGATGCATTTGTCTATTTCTGTGTAAAGTTAGGTTTTTTTCTTGCACGGGTAATCCTGTTTGTAGATGGTAGATAATTGATGGGGTGGTGCATTGTTGGACTGTACGTATGGATTCGGATGAGTTTTCAGTCAAGGTTCACCATGGGGTTTTTTCGTTGGTCATGGTAATTTGCGGTCTTACGTGGATGGCAAAGTCAGTTGGTTTGATCATATTAAGATAGACACTTGGTCTCCACTGTGGTTGGATCAATTAGTTGAGGATTTAGGGTACCTAAGGACTCCCAGCTTGAAGTATTACTGGTTATTATCAAGCAAGGGTATTTCTGATGGTCTCAGAGTGATTACATGTAACACTGATACAAATGTGATGGCCTCAGTGGTTGAAAAGTGCATGAATTTGGTTGTCTATTTCAATCATGAGGGAAAAGTTGGAGGTATTAACTGGGATGATATTATGAACAATCTAGTCCGGCGATCACCGTCTTGTGTAGCCTGCCTCGCCGCCCCTCCTCTCTGACGCGAAGAACTCGAGGGGACTCTAGGGAGATGTGTGTGACGATTGGATTAAATGAAGGGCCCCTTTGCAACATTACCCCATAGTTGTCTAGCACCCTTCACATCACGATGGCACGTCGGCTAAAAAGTCATCCCGAGGCTGGTTTAGACCACTAATGGACGCATAATCAAGTTTAGAGAGGTTAAAGTGTAATTTGAGAGTACATGGATCTAGATGACACACCGCGGCAAGTTTGAGAACCGCCGTTGCAGTTCACTCTAAATTTGTTTATCCATCTCACACATATTAATATAAACAAAAAAAAACTACAATAACCCTTACGTTATTAAATCCCAATACAATTATTTTTTACTTTCTCTATTCCCAATATAATTATATCTTATTTTTATAATTTCGTTATAGTAATTACTTCAAAAATTTTCTCTATTCCCAATATAATTATATCTTATTTTTATAATTTCGTTATAGTAATTACTTCAAAAATTAACTTATTTCGAGACAAATTAAAAGAGATGAAAAATTAAACTTATTATGAGACCTCTCTTCCGTTTCCGTCGGTGTCAACGTGGAGTATACTTGAAAGCGGACACACGTTGGAATCAGATGGCCCTGTCGTAGTGTCGTGCGATCCACGCCGACAAGGACCCTCAACCACACTTGCATCCGATGGCAGTTTGGTCATTGCACTTTGGCGATCTATAGCTTTCTGGCACAACAGTGTACAAGGTAGTAGTATTCCTTCCATCACAAACTATAAGCAATTTTGAAGGGATATGTTCTCTGTCCAGATTTATACTCACTACTTTTTAAATTGATCATCATATAAATTTATGCACCAAGACTAAGAATAATTTAAATCATATTAATCAAGACACCATGCACACATTCTCCCATAATACATGCATCGATTAAAACACCGTGCCAATTATATCTTAGCATGCACACATTCTCTCATGCTGTATTAATTGTATTATGATGAAATTCGTGTCCATGCGGTTATATGATGACTAATTTGAGAAATTTTAAATTCTATTATACGATGATCAATTTGGGAAGGAGTGAATAGTATGGTCTCGTTCGTTTCCTCTGTAACAGGTGGATGAAAATTTAAATACTCGTGGCACGCTTTTTAAACTGCTAAACTATGTGTTTCGTGCGAAAACTTTTTATATAAAGGTTATTCTAAAATATCATATTAATCCATTTTTTTAAGTTTGTAGTAATTAAAATCCAATTAGTCACATGTTATTACCTCGTTTTACGTGAAACATTTAATTTTTATCTTTATCTTTAGAAGATTCAAACACCACCTACGTATCATATCCCTCCAAAATAATTTATATTTAGACGGGAGAGTATTAGTTTCTGAACCCTCGCCGTCGGAGAAACTGTAGTAGCTGTACTTAAACAAGAACCTGAAATGACGGAAAACATAATAATATTCCCTTGTGCCGGAACAACGATCTGTTTTTGGGTATGGTAATTAATGCCCAAACATGCAATAAATCAGTTTAATTAAGACGAAATTGTCCTCTACACGAGTACATACATGTTCATCCCTGAATTTTGTACTCGGATAGTACAAGCAAAACCTTACTTCCCGGCTAATATGAAAAAACGCAACAGTAACACCGTAAATGGATCTGATTTGCTAGATCCTAATGCCGTCGTACTAGCAGAGATTTCAGTTCTACCTACCTAAGGTACCTAACAGACTGAAGTGGTCAGATCTAATCTAGTAATCCCCTTCCAACTCAACAAGCAGTTAGTGGTTGCTCCCACCTAGTTTTGAGGCTTCTTAAATAGGAGTAGTATCTTCTAACCCTAAATTCCTAATAATGTAGTAATTAAGTAAATGCTAATGACGAATTAGCAACATCATAAATCTTGATTAGTGCCTCCTGATGTCCTGATGCAGCTGGTCATTTGGTCAATGGAGGCGCTGCTCTCACCTACGCTTGCCACCTTGACTTGACAATTTCTTTTCCCCCTCTCTCTCTCTCTCTTTTTTGTTGCATTCACAAGCAACAAAATCCCCCCCACCACTTTGCCATTTTCCCTTCTCTCTTCCCCCTTTTTTTGCTGCCTCCCTTTGCTTCCTCCTCCAGCGATCAAGCTCTCGCGACTTCTAGAAGCTTCCACGGCGTCTCCCCCCCGAGGCATTTCTGGTGGGTGGAGCGGGGGGGCGGCGCTCATGGTGGGCGCAAGGGCTGGGCGGGTCCCAGCGGCGGCGGCGGCGGCGGCTGCGGTGCTCATCGTCGCTGCGTGCGTCTTCTCGTCGCTGGCGGGGGCCGCCGCCGCCGCCGAGGTGGTCGGGGGAGCGGCTCAGGGGAACACCGAGCGCATCTCAGGTGAGCGAGCTGTACTTCTGCACCCGATTCGTTCGACTTGCTGGGTTGTTAGAATGTTAGCTTGTGGATTGTGAATTTGTGATGCGAGTGATTCAGTTGTAGCCTCTTGTGTTGGATTTGTTCACGAACTTGGCTAGGGGAATCGCTCAACTGGCTCAGCTTGTTTGTAAATATTTTTCCCTTTACCTGATTCAAAGTTGGGATGCTGTTGCTAGGCGAGGACGTGTCAGCCTAACACCACTCAGTTCTTAGGCCGAAATTCTCCTCTAATCTAGTAGTAGTACTTCAACCATGGATATTCATATGCAATTGCAAGTTCGACCTGATAATGTGCATTGTACAACAACACCCGTGCTCTTAGAATCGCACATTCGCACTGATATGCTTTTTTCCCCCTATAAAAAAGGAAATCCGGATGTCCAATACTAGTTTGATGTAAATTCAGTACTGACTGCAATGGATCGCTGATTCTCGTGCTTATCGAAGGAATGTAATCTCTCCGCGCCAGCAAAGGGTTGTGTGAACATATAGAAATGTTGAATTACCATTTAGCACCTATTTCTCCTCCTCTTCCGTTTCTTTTACTTGTTACATAGTTAACATTTGATAGTTTTAAGACAATCATATATGCTTGTGCTACCTGCAGACCTACACTTGTTATGTCATTGTCTCATTGACAAAGTCCTATCCAACTAACGTTAGTTATTGTCAAGATACTGTGATCTGCTTGGAGCCAATCCAATTGTGCATATAACTTTTCCGATAATGGAATTGGATCCAATTATTGTTTCTATTTAATACAATAATTCCAGGATAAACAGTTACCCCATAAATGCAATTGTGCCAAATAAAAGAGAGGAGAATCTACCTGAGTTTTTTAGGAGAGTGGTGCATTCTGAGTTTATGTTTCAGAGAACAACAGAATTTTCGTTCAATTATTCATGATTTATTGAAAATGAATTCCCCTAAGCTTGTATTGAGTTTTACATTCTTTCTTCTTGTTAACATTTATTTCCACCTTAAATATTACTTATTAATTATATGGGGAATATCCAATGAAAACCATCAAATAAGCGGAAACCCGTGAAAACCATACCTAAAACTTTTCTAAATTCATGAAAAAAATACTAGATATAGCTATAGACATGAAATACATTCATACCAAATCTCAAGTCCAAACTTAGCTTCATTTGAGAGAAACAAAAAAGAGAAATTCTAGGTGAATAGTGTCATGTTACCATTCACCCAAAATGTCTTTTCTGTTACTCCTAAATAAAGTTGAGTTTGAACTTGATATTTGGTGGGAATGTATTTCATGCCTACATCCATCTCAAGTATTTTTTTTCATGAATTTATGAAACTTTTAGGTTAGGTTTCATGGGTTTTCACTTATTTGATGGTTTTCGCTGGATATGTCCCCTTATTATATTATAACTTCATGACTGGTTTTCTTGGAATCTGCTTATCAGTTTTATGAAGATAGTACTATGTGCTTCTACTCAACCAAGATCATTGACCTGCAGGAAGTGCTGGTGATGTGCTAGAAGACAATCCAGTTGGGCGGTTGAAGGTTTTTGTTTATGACTTGCCAAGCAAGTATAACAAGAGGATAGTCGCCAAGGATCCCCGATGCCTCAACCACATGTTTGCTGCTGAGATATTTATGCATCGTTTCTTGCTCTCTAGTGCTGTTCGAACGCTCAACCCTGAACAGGCTGATTGGTTCTATGCCCCTGTTTACACTACTTGTGATTTGACTCATGCTGGACTTCCATTGCCATTCAAGTCTCCTAGGATGATGCGGAGCGCAATCCAGTTTCTTTCAAGAAAATGGCCATTCTGGAATAGAACTGATGGAGCAGATCATTTCTTTGTTGTTCCACATGATTTTGGGGCATGCTTTCACTATCAGGTAATGATATATTGGTTTATTTGTCTTCTTACCTGCCAAGTCCTTGTCACTGTTGTAGCTAGTCATGATTTTAGTTCCACAATAGTTTTAAGAAATAGGTAGCTCAGGATAGATCCTACCTTTAGTCCCTATCTATTCTGAAACTGCATATGCAATGGTTATATGTCTTTACAGGAAGAGAAAGCTATTGAGCGTGGGATACTTCCATTGCTCCGCCGTGCCACATTGGTTCAAACTTTTGGACAGAAGAACCATGTGTGCTTGAAGGAGGGTTCTATCACTATACCACCATATGCGCCTCCTCAGAAAATGCAAGCTCACTTGATTCCTCCTGATACTCCCCGTTCAATCTTTGTTTACTTCAGAGGCCTGTTCTATGACAATGGGAATGACCCTGAGGGTGGGTATTATGCAAGGTAAGAATGTTTGCAGAACCTTGAAAGATACATCTCCTGTGGTACTTGGTCCTGCTTTATTGACTCTGTTGAACTTGTTATACAGAGGTGCCCGAGCTTCACTGTGGGAGAATTTCAAGAACAATCCCCTCTTCGACATTTCTACGGAACACCCAGCTACTTACTATGAAGATATGCAGCGCTCAGTCTTCTGCTTGTGCCCCTTGGGATGGGCACCATGGAGCCCTAGATTGGTGGAGGCTGTAGTTTTCGGTTGCATTCCAGTCATCATAGCTGATGATATTGTGCTTCCGTTTGCTGACGCAATCCCATGGGACGAAATCGGTGTTTTTGTTGACGAGGAGGATGTTCCAAGGCTAGACTCAATCCTCACATCCATCCCAATTGATGATATCCTAAGGAAGCAAAGATTACTCGCCAATCCATCAATGAAACAGGCCATGTTGTTTCCGCAGCCAGCACAACCTAGAGATGCATTCCATCAGATCCTCAACGGCCTTGCTCGGAAGCTCCCACACCCAGACAGTGTATACTTAAAGCCAGGCGAGAAGCATCTCAACTGGACTGCGGGGCCTGTAGCAGATCTGAAACCTTGGAAATAGAAAAGCTCACATGAAAAACTCGGCTTTGATGTTATTGTGAAGTTTTAAGTTATGTCCTTTTCCACTGAGGAGTTTCTAGTTTCACATAGCTAGATGATATTTATCAAAGTTGTATATCTCCAATGTCGCTGAGCTAAATGCCTACTCTGTGGAAGTGAGTGGAACAGTTTGTAGCTTTGTAATTGTATAAAAAAAATTAAAGCAATGAATGTCAGAATTTGTTCTTGTGTTCACTAAACTAGCTGGGTGACCCGCGCAATTGCGCGGCTAGCACCCATAGAAAGTTATATATATTTTAATATGATTTTACTTAAAGTTTATTAAATAGTTATCTCGTTGTTTTAAGACTTTGAAATACCAAACCTTATAATCCTTGTGTTTCTAATTTTATAGTTTTTAAAAGTCACACCGTACCCCTTACTTCTGTCATATCTTTCTTTATTTGCTTGTTCGACCTAGCACTATTTCTATTCATTCTTCTTGGGACTTTTAAAAATTGGATCTTATAGATTTTATAGTTTAATGTCCCATTGGGTTTCGTTTTTATAATTTCTAGAAGTTCTGTCAAACGTTGCCATTATATTCCTTTACGGCCGTCCACTGCCTCTCCTATTGATTGTCATTGGCATTATAAAAATTGAATATAATTATCATTTAGGTTCATTTTTTAACTTTCTAGAAGTTCCGTCAAAACGTCAGCGACTTTGTCACTGTACTTCTCTACGACTCGCTTGATGCCTCCCTTCTTTATTATCATTGAGATTTTAAAATCAAACATGAGTATTATTGGTTTTTTTTACTTTTACCTCTAAAAATTGGACCTATAGTTTTTAGAGTTTATTGTCTCGTTGGATTTCATTTTTTATAACTTTTACAAATCCTGTCAAACGCTGCACTATACTCCTCTACGACCCGTCCGCCGCTTACTCTTTATTGCCATTAAGATTGTAAAAATCGAATATAACTATTGTTTGAATTTATTTTTTTACTTTCTAAAAGTCCCACCAACCATCGGCGGCTCTGCCATTGTACTCATGTATGACTCGCCCATTGCCTCTCATTTTTATTGTCATTGAGATTTTAAAAATCAAATATGATTATCATTGGATTTTTTTTTTTGCTTTCTAGAAGTCCCGCCGACCGCCATAACCGATTGCTTGACTATCTGCCCGTCGTCATTCCTTTTAATTGTCATTATTATTCTATTTTGTGTTTTATTAATAGTATTTAGATGTCCCATCAACCACCACCATTCTACTCCATTATAGCCCTGTTACTTAATTAATTTCGTCATGTGTTTTAAATGGCCTTTTCTTTCAGTAGTATTTATTTTTTTATTACCAAATTTAGTTATTTATAAATTGTGTTCCTACTTGAAATCTTATTTTTCTTTTTCTAATTTCAGAATTTATTATATTTTTTGTTTTGAATTTTAACTAATATTGCATTGTGTTATTTTTTATTTTCAATGTCAGTTGTTTCAAAATTGTATTCCTACTTGAACTCTCTTTTTAATTTGTCTAATTTTGGATTTTATTTTATTTTTTATTCCAAATTTTAATTAATTTTATATTGGGTTCTTATATGTACTCTTATTTCAATATTGCTTAATTTTAATTCCGCATTTTAGTTATTTTTAAATTGTATTTGTCGACGGGTGATACCCGTAGACCGGATATAGAGGGTATTGGGGTACGTTGGTACAAGGATCTACGTAGTACAACATCAAGCAAACAGAAGACAAAGATTGTACTGGTTCAGACCCCTTGATAGGTAATAGCCCTAATCCAGTTGATGTGGGATTATATGATGGAAAAACACAGATTACAAAGGGAACGGTGGAACTCAAGGGATCCGGCGAGATCGTAGTCGAGTTGGTTCGACTAGATCCCTGGCGGTTTGGCTCCTGCAGGCTCTGGCTTCGTAGGCTGTGGGGGTTGTGTTGGCTCTGAGATTCGATGCCTTAGGTCCTCCCCAGGGGTCCCTTTTATATCACAGGTCAGGCGGTTTCCAAGTCGAACTTGGAGACATCAGACCCTACACGATACATTGACGACCTAGTCTTGTTCGAGTAGGACTCTTTTCGTCCGTAAACTCCGTGAAGGATTTCCTTAATATATGCAGAGGGTATCCGTATGCGCGTGGGTATGCCATACCGATATGCGACGTATATCGAAGGGTAAAGGGTATACCTAACCCGTAACCCTGACAGTAGCCCCCGACTTCTGCTTAAATGAACTCGTGTAACCATTCGCGACTTCTTGTGTCGAGACTGTTGTCGTTCCCAGTGTGAGGACCGTAGAGACATGACGTAGTCGAGAACACCATGTGAAGCCCAATGGTCACGATTGAATTTAAACTGAAGTCTAAAAAACTGCCGCGCGTAACAGACCCAGAAATTTCCGGCGGGCATCTCTCTCCTTTCCTTGGAATTCACACCGTCGGTAGTGTGTCTATTTAAAGGAATTTTGGGGATCCATTTTGAAGTCCGCCTATTGTGAAGAAAACATCCCGCCTGCAAGCGTTCTTCGTCTTCTCCGCTCCCACAAGAAACCCTAGCTCGTCTTAGGTCGCATGGTTACGATCGAGGACTACATTCTCTGCGGTTTTCTCCCTACACCTTCCGAATTTCTTCTCTTGGTATTGAACTTCTATGGTCTTTCTCCGGCGATCTCCGATCGGTGATGGATCTTGGCAAATCATCCTCCACCAGCGCGTCGCTGAAGAAGCTTCAGGAAGACGGCGCCCTTCCCGGTCGTGGAACCATGGAGAGGGAAGTAGGAGGTACTGAACCGCAATTCTATCGCCTTTCTTAGCATCTTTTCTCATCTTTGTGAGGCCTATATTGGGGTAGAGCCCTTTCTCGATCTCTTTCGCTTCTACTACGAGCTGTGTTGGATGGAGTCCAACAGGGTGTCTGGATGCGTCGGGTTCCGACTTCGGGATTGCCTGAAGTCGCGTTATATCCCCTTCCAGTGCCCTTCCTCTCACAGCAAATGGCGAACGAGGTGGTTCTACCTTCAGATCGAAGATTCGGACCCTGTCTTCGTTGTTCCAGAGGAACAACCGGATAAGATTTCGTCTTGGACCGCAAAGCCCCCCTTGACCCCTTCTCTCCAGTCGTTCATCGATATTGTCGACGATCTCCGAGTACGAGGTTGTTCTGGGTATGAAGTCGCTGCCGACTTCGTTGGTAGACGGATCCAGCCGCTCCAGGCTCGAGTCCATCCAGCTTTTGACTATTCTGGACCGGAGGACGCGACCCGGGTTTCTCCTCGGGGTATCTTTCTTGTATTTATCCTGACATGATCGTGTTCACGTTCCTCCTGATTTATCAAAATTTGGTTCTCGATTCACAGGTCTGAACAGCGAAACCGTGGGACGTCGTGTCGGCCAGGTGATGATCAGTGGCCCGACAACGGCGAGTAACATCCATGTTCCCCTTTGTGAGAAGGAGGCAGCCGAACGTGACACTGCCATCAATGTAAGTGTACTCAATAGGCATTCTGCGTTTTTCTTCCGAGATCGCTTTGTGACTTGATTAAGCGTAGGCTCTTCCTCTGACTGACATCATCGGGCCGCTCGCTGACCATCAGGTGGTGGCGTCACTGAAGGAGAAGGTCGCCAAGGAGGCGTCCGATGCTGCTGCTGCTGCTGCTACCACAAGTGGTGGCAATGTTCCGACAAAGGGGAGGAAGTTCTCCTCTGTAAGCGGACATCGTCGCAAGGCATCTACCCCCTCGGTAAGCTATCCTGTTGTCTGATCATACAGCCAGAAGAATTTCGCCTTACTTCGCATCAACCGTTTTCCAGGCCTCGGACGCGTCTCCCCCGCCTCCACGACGACAACGACTTGTGACACTTGGCGAGAAGTAAGTGGATGAACTTAAGTTTCCGTGATCTTGTTCGAGCGTTGTCTGAACCATGGCTGTCTCATAGGGCGGCGTGGGTGAAGGCGGCGCAAGATGAGTCCGGAGGGACTTCCGGCGCGTCTCCCGCTGTGGCCTCGACGGATGTCGTGCTTGCGCCCGGGAGCCGCGAGGCAACACCAAGCGGCCCAGCCAGCGATCCCGCGGCTGGTCGTGGTCCACCGGCTGCCGTCCTCACCTGGGAGGAGCTCCAGGTCGAAATGGGGCGCCTCCTCGAGGCTGGTGCTCGTGGCATTGGTCGCGAGATTGCGGAGGCGAGGTCGGCGGCGGCGTCGGCGAACGAGCGCGCCAACTGGCTGGTACACGAGTTGGCGGAGGCTCGTGAAGACCTCAAGAAGATGAGGGAGTTGGTGGCTGGCAACGAGCGACAACGGCAGGGGCTCGAGCACCGCATGTCGGAGCTCGGGAACAATCTGTCGAAAATCCGTGGCTCGTTGCGGGTCACCTATACTGGTATGCACCAGCTCGCCGGGGAGTGCGGCATCAAGTCTACCATCCCGGCGAATCCCGATGAGTTTTCACTGACATCTTCTCTTGCGAAGCTGGCGGCGGCGATGGAGGAGATCCCCTCCAAGCATGCGGCCAGGATCGGGGAGGAGACGTCCAACGGAATCTATACCGGGACATGCCACGTCCTTGCGTGTGTGAAGCTGGCGCATCCTGAACTCGATCTCCGCGAGATCTTGGATCAGGGGGCGGCTAGCGATGCGCGTAAGGAGGTGATGGAAGAAGTCGGCGATCTGGGGGAATCTGTTCTCCCTCTTTTTGAAGAGTAGGATCTCTTGTACTCCTCAGACATGCTGTGTAAAACTTTGATGGACCTCAACCGCCTTTGTGCGTGCAGCTATTATCCTAGCTTACTCTTGCATGTTGATCTTGAGTACTTTTTGTCCCTTGTAGAGATGTTGATGATGAGGATGTCCAGCAGCGCGGGCAGCCTGAGTCACCGGCGATCATTTCGGCTCTCGCGTTTGAACCACATGCGTCGCCAGACAATGTAGACCAGATCCTAGCTACGGGGACGGGGATGGCGACGACTTCCTTAGGTTAGTGGTCCATTCATCCCTTATTGCTCCTCCGACTAGATCAGCTATGTTCTCGAAAGAGGCGTGCAGCTTGACTTAGTTGTTCCCACATTGGGCAGATCTCGAGAGTGCTCTTGCTGGCCAAGATCGTCGTATCCAATATTGGAAGACAAAATTTGAAGTAGCGGGAACTCGAGAGAACCATGCTTGCAGTGAAGAAAAAGAAGGCTGTGGAAACGCTCCGAGGTCGTGAGGTGTGGTTCAA